CCCGCCTTTTGCTAGCGCTCGCCTTGACAGCTAGGGACAACTACGGGAATCGAACTTGTGACGGCAATCAAGCCTTTCTTTGCCACATGCCAAGTCCAGCAGCTGTTAGTCTGACCGTACGCGTACAAGCACAATTGTAACAGACACTAATAGTGACGTCGGTCGCAAGGACCCTTTGACTCTATGGCCTAACCAATTGACCCAATTGACCCAAAAGATCCGTCAGTGCTTACACGCGTGCAAGCCCTGCTGTCAACACTGCTTATATGCCCTTGTGACATACAACCATCAGGCTAGGGGAGTTGTGCTGTTACATTTAATCTCTCTAGACTTTATAGTTAAACTCCTAAAGTTAAAAGAACTACTTAGCAGAGTTTATTATAATAATATACTTATTATTATTAATTAACTAACAAAATATATTTACTTTATTTTTTACTTAAAAGTAAATATAGTAAAAGAATTAATATATATATTCCTTAAGTATATTATTAGTAATTATAAGCTACTAAAAGAAATCATTTTAAATAAAAACAAACTATTTACCTTTAAATTCTAGAAATCTCTAGTTTTATAATTAGAAGCTAACTATAAGCTATTAACTACCTTTTACCTCTAAACTAATAAATAAATAGAATAAGTTAATTAAATATTAGAATAGTATTTATAATATTATATTAACTATAATTAAAATAATTAAGTATTACTATTACTAATAGCTTAATTTATATATAATAGTACTATTAGAGAAAATACTATAAACTTCTTATTTTACTTTAATTATAGATTTTAATTAACTACTTATAAAGAACTATAATAAGGCTTATAAGTAAATAAGGCTATAACTAGTTATAATAAATTATAAGAAATCTAGGAGAATACTATAAAAGATTTAGAATTTATTAGGATATAAATAGCTAAATATATTAATACTTTAAAGATAATAAGACTATTCTTTAAGGAAAAAAATAATATATACTTATTATACTAAAACATTAAAATAAAGCAACTAAGTAATAAACTTAATTATAAAAAACTTAGACCCTTTAAAATTACCTAAAAAATCTTAAATATTAACTATAAGCTTAATTTACTAGAAATAATAAAAATCCACCTAGTCTTTTATATTACGCTACTAGAACTAATACTATAAGAATTAAATACTAATAACTATATTATTATAGAGTTAAATAAACTAAAATATAAGATTAAAAAAATTGTTAGTAAATAATATAAGAATAAGAAAAGATAATACCTTATAAAATAAAAGAACTATAGAAATAAAGATAATATATAAGAACTAGTTAAGAACCTTTAATATTACTAAGAGATAATCTAATAATATTATAAGAAGGACTTAGAGGCCCTAGATCAGTAAACTCCAGACTAACCCCTAGTAAGCTCTAGTCTAGGACATTACCTACACCCTAAGAAACAAGGTCACGTTTAACCCTAGCCTCTATTTTAGCTACCTCCTAATCCTTTACCTTTAACTTATCTAGAGACTATATACTTTATTAAATTAATTTAGAACTATAATTCTTTAAGAAATATTTCTGTTTTTATAAATAAATAAAAAAATTTAAAGTAATAGCTAATTAAGTCTAAAAAATCTTTATTTCTTTTTTAGCTTTTTATTTATCCTTTTTAGTTTTCTACTATTCTATTAAATAATAGTTTACTATAAAATTAATATTAACTTTATATATAATAACTAAAAAAACTTATAAGTATTTATAATATTATTTTTATTATATTAAGTATAACTAATATAAATATATTTATTATAATATAATAACTCTTTAGCTATTTTATAGACCTTATTAAACTTAAAATAATAAGTGTAAAGTATTATATTAACTTTATAGTACTTAACTACTTTAATAAAAAAATAATATTTATAGGTTTTCTAAGAAATTTTAGAATTTATTTTTTATTTACTTATATAACTAAATATAATATTAATATTATTAAAAAGAATATAATTAATATTTCTTAACTTAAAAAAAGTAATATACTTATAATAGTCTTAAGAATAAGACCTTTAAAAAAAAGACCTAATATTATAACCTAAATCTAGTTAATAGCTAGTATAGCTTAAAGCAAACCCCTAGAGTAGCTAACAAGGTAGCTAGACATTTAAGTATATAAGCTAATAATATAAACTAGGCTTAGAATAAAAGAACTTAAGAAAGTTATATAATAGATTAATTAAATTACTAGTAATCTAATATAATCCTTTAATAAAAATTACTAACAAATAAAACTAATCCTTTATTTAAAATTATAAGTAATAAAAATAATCTAAAAAAAAAAGCTAAAATATAAAGATACTTATTCTAAGAAGATAAAAACCTTCTATAGCTCTTTAATAATTAACTTTATGATTTACTTTTTTACAAATAACTCTTAGATTATTCTTCTATTATAAAGCTATAAAGCTATCTACGCCTAGACATACCTGACTAATCACCAGACACCAATAGACCAGCAAGATTACTAATAAGACTTACCTTACTGTTACCGAGTATTGACCTCAGCTGCCTATTAGCAGAAAACACCACTGTCGGATATCTGACCGTAACACCTAGCACTGCTACGTTACACATATACGTGCACTTAGTGTTCTTGGGAGTGCAGGACATCTTCCTGTTGTTACCTGTGCTAGCGAAGTGCCTAGTCATGTTTCTGTAAGCTAAACCTGGGCTGGCGTACTGAGTGTCGATCTCGCAGGTGAGGTTGGCGGAGCAAGTGCCCGAGATATATGCACTTCGCGCTTCCGCTAGACCTAGAGGTATTAAGCAAGCGATGAGAATACTAAATTGCATCTTTTTTTTTCTAAAATAATTGAGAGAAAATTTCTATGAAAAGGTCATAGAAATTGGTGTAAGAGACAGGAGTTAATGCTGTGGTGTTAAGCTGACTGATGTAGAAAGCCGCGTTCTTTGAGAAATCAACGGCTTATTAATAATATTAAGCATCTTATACACCTTGATTATTAACAGCAAATTACCTTGAAAGCGAGAGGCTATGGTAGGTACTATGGTAATGCCTTGAAGCCCTCATTTTTGGTACGTAGCTGCATGAAGATGCTACCCCTGGTTGAACCTTACTGTCGTTGAATCGAGGGACCTGCTATTTCTCTGCTAACATTCTTGATGCCCGCTGTCTAATTGGCCATCTTTGTATTGGCTCCCGCTCTCAAAGACCGGGGAGCGATTGTGCGTAATGCCACTGACCTTCCACATAAAACATCTCTTCTGCTACTTCAGACCGTCCAGTAGAATCTTGAATTTTTTTATTTTATCGTGGAATCCTAGCTATTATACGATTTGTGATAGATGAGCTTAAGGATGCAACAGGAGTACGCGTCATACTCGTACATAGCGTTGATCAAATACTTGACCCCGAACGAAGCGCGAGTCATTATCCGACCGTATTCGAGCCTACGAGGAGATCCGACATCATGTTTGTACGCCGAAATAGGGATGAAGGCAGTAGAGAATTTGTACTATCTTGAGTAGACACAATTGTTGCTATACGAAAGAAGGTTATCCATCGCAGACGGCCGAGGAGGCAGCACCTCTTGGCAACTGGTATTACGATCGAGTTGTCTCGCCCACAAACCCGAACATCAGGACGACACGTGGTAAATACTGTTTACTGTCTAAAGAAACATCGTGTCGGATGTCACTGTCTGAATCTCTTTATCAAGCACATACAAAAACCGGCACAAGGTAACTTGAGGGCTTTTCGGCGGATGGAGTGAACACGTGTTAGCCTAGTATAAAGGTTTAGTGTTACGAAGGAACATTTGGCCCCTGCTCCTTTCAATGTGTTTTATTTTCATTTTCTATCTCCGAGTTCAATCCTCTTTTCTACCCTGAAGCGATTCTTCTAAACTAGACAATTGCATGCTCAGCCCGCTTGTCTGATACTGAGAAGCGCTTTTACCACAGTAGTACGCCATTGATAATTTAGTGTCGTAGCTTCAGTTGTAAATCATTTGTATGAGGGCGGTGGTTGTTGTGATCGTAGACAGGCTCATTGATTGATGGAAGTATACTACATCATCGAATGCATTTGGGATGCAAACACCTTAGTACCCTATCACTAGATTCGGGAAGTGGCTCACAGTCACAGATGTGTCTGACCGCATTCTGAAAGCTATGTGGCGATCCCTCCATTTTTGTGTGCCTACTAACCGTAACCGTCATTGAACCCTCTGTATCCCCGGCGACTAGCTTGATAGAGACGATGATCATGACATACATAATTTCTCACTTTGTTTTAGTTTGTGGTTTTCTCTTTCTCCCACCTGATATCTGCTTTCGTGTTGTCTCGGGGCACATGTGGGTCTGCATCGCTTACTGTTGAATGACTAAAAAAATAAGACTCTTTACAAGAAAGCTTATCTTGTCAAATTATATCTTTACACCTAATAACTACATAGATCTGCCACATCTGAACTTGGATTAGGCAGATAAGAAGCTTTACAACGATATGTAACCTGCCTATATACGCATATACCTTATAATATCTAGACAGCTAAGGTAGTCTAGAGTAGGCTGGCTAGAAATCAGGTTATCCCCAGATTCCCGATCTGAATCTAGACCATCCTAGATTCCGGAAAGACAGCTCCTAGATTACAGATAAGCTACCCTTATTAGACAACAACGTTCCTAACAAGATAATGTGAAAAAGGATATAAACCCAAGATATTCCTACCCTTTGGGATGAGAATAGCTTATCTTCATCAAGTACAAGCTTTATCTTGCAACTGCCACTTGATAATGCAAGATTTATTCTATCTCTCTACTTTTATAAGTCACTAAGTCTCTTTACTTGTGACTATCTAAGAATATTACCAATATATTTAAAGTGAATGATCCGCCGAGTGCATCTGTATGCTGTACCAAGTCTTTACTTCCTTGAGTAGATTCTTTTCATAAACCGGAACAACACAACGAAGTGCGGCAACCTGTGTATTTTGGCTGATCATGGACAAACTCGACTCTTTGCGTAGCTGGATTGCCGAAGCCCTGTCTGGCAAAAAGTACACCGCCCTACTCGAAGATGGGACAGATGCTCTATCGGCGGAGGGGCTACTCCACGAACCGAAGTCAGAACAATCTCGCTGGCGTACCAACGGCGCGCGAAACTGTTTCTGGGTCATGATGCCGTCGTACCTTGCCCGTGCATTCGGTCACGCTAGTGACAACTCAGAGATCCCCGCGGCCAATGCAACATCGGACTTGAACGGCCTTCGCGGCATTGCATCGGTAATCGTCGCTCTTCAGCATACTGTAGACGCAGATGTAAGTACTGAGTGGCACGCGCACACGTCGTCTTCCCTCTCTCTGTTTACTCGGGCCGTTAAGAGCTTGGCATGAGAAGCCAGGAAGCCCATCCCGGCTTGTTCTCACAATGCCATGCACATATCACAGTACATACCTGCACATGATGGAGTTACAAAGCCGGCTGACAAGCTTGTGTACAGTACCCATTAATTCATCGCGGCTGGGGTGATACAGACGATGATCACCATCTTATTCAACTACCCATCGTCCGTATGTTAACCAGCGGAATTCTCATGGTCGATGTCTTCTTTATTATCAGTGGCTTCGCGCTCACGTACGGTCCTCTCAAGAAGTCCTACGGCGGCCAGAGCGCAGCCGCAATCAGCTCCATGCCGTCCAGTATATTCCGCCGCCCATTCCGCCTCTTTATGCCTGTCATCCCTGTCCTCGCAGTTACGACCGTTCTGGTCTACTTGCAGGCATTCTATGCTCTCAACTCCACGGAACCAATGGCTCCTGTCGCTAGCGGGTTTTGGGACCATATTTATTACATATGGCGCTCGTTGGTGCTCATTATCACGGCCGGAACGAACAACACCATAATGCCACAGGGCTGGACGCTGACTGCCGAGTACGAAGGATCGATTCTCGTCTTTCTGTGCTGCATGGCTTTCGTACGGACGTCGCCCAAAGTACGGATACCACTCGTACTGTCGTTGCTGATTTTTCTCTTTAACCTCGGCAGGTTGCAACAATGTCTCTTCCTCACGGGAATGCTCCTTGCCGACTTCCGGCATGAGCGGAAGAGACTACCAAACTTACCAGGGGCGATCCAGAAGGCTGTTACTCTTGTGTCATGGATGATGTTCGTTCTTGCGCTCTTCCTAGGCGGCTGGCCGGTGCATGGGAATGCCGCTGCTGCTATGGGGTTCTCATGGTTTGCGTGGGTGCCAACATTTGGCATTCCCGCACCTGGCTTTTTTCAATTCGTCTCATCCATAATGTTGGTTGTCGCGCTAGAGAACTTGCCGGTCCTTCAGCGCGTCCTGAACATGCCCTGGGCCCTCTATCTGGGTGAGATCAGTTACGGTCTTTATCTAGTACACTGGGTCTGTGGGAAGTGTTTCCTCACCTACGGCTTGAAACTCCGTCTGGTACATGATGGACACAGCTTGGCGTTCGCCTGGAGCGTCCTTTTCGCTATAACGGTTGTACTTACCTTATGGCTTGGCGATGTTCACTGGAGGCTGGTTGACCAGAGGTGTGTGCGGTTCGCACACTGGCTGAGCAAGAAGCTTGGTATTTAGGGCTGCCATATGAAAGCACATGAAGAAGCCCATTATTGAATCTGTAAAGGTTTCCCATATTTCCTAGCTGCGGAGGTGCCTTGTGATAGAGATCAAAGGGAAGGAATTTGGGGCCTCGGCATGCCATAGTACTAGAGATTTGCTTCAAGTTTGTAATCACTTGAATGTAAGTAGAGGTTGATTTTCTCCTGTTCTCTCTGCGACTGCCTGAAGTATCGGCTGTATCATGACGTGAGTAGTTTGATTACGAACAACGGTATCAGATCAATCTCACTTTTTCGAACCGCAAAAGATATGTGGAATGTATGCTGTCCGTTAGGATTAGGCTTTGGTAGCGGAACTCTGCGGCGAAATCTGATTTCCCAACACTTTGTCAGCACAAGTCACAGCCTACGTGCCAAGAGACAATTCCGCTAACAGATTCCCCAGTCCGTTCTCTGTTTACCGCGCAAGCAACATGCTCACTCTGCTCACGGCGTTAGGCAATCTTGGGACGGCGGCGACCCAGCCACACCTGAACGACACTGTAGCAGTCTCGGAGAAAATTGGAATTTCTTGCCCAGGTTATAAGTGCTTGAGACTGCCAAATTGATGTCAGGAAATGCGATGGCTGCCTACTTCTCCCGAGTCAGTGAAAATTTTATGCTGGGCAGGAGAGCCGATATTGGGCTCAGCCAACTCCCGGAGGGGAGCACCTTCACGTCGAGTTGATTCGCGACTTCCTCCAGCCCCAGTGTTCCGACCACCGTGAAGGAACATAAAAATGCTATCGTTGGATAATATCCGTGGGTGGCTCTTTGAGACCTGGTCAGGCGACTCATACATTGCCTTGCGTGAAGATGAAGGAGGTGACCCGTTAACGGAGCCGCCACTTGATGCTTCAGGTGTGGCCGAATCACCCGCCTACATAAGATCGTATGATCGAGTCGAGAAAATTATGTACTGTGTCACACGGACGCATAAACAGTGTTGGTGGTACTTATGCAGTTGGCAAATGGGGTCGCTGAAAGGACCTGCTGCCAACTACAGTAATTGACTTCAAAAGACTCCTTAAATCCAAGTGTGGCCCAAAAAGTATGTTGATTTATTTGCAGCTTAGCACTCAACTCATATCAGAGAGTACCCTAGTCGGTACTAAAAGAAGTATGGCAGGGAAAGTAGTTGGGGGAGGTGTTCTGACTCCAAGCACCATCTCAGATGCGACTTTACGAGTTCATATCACCATACGACAAGCACCATGGTCCAGTTCACACAATCTTCATCGATGATTTGCCGACAACAGTTCTTAAAATGGTCTATCCTAAGCATGCATGCCCTCTCGCCAACTCGTCAAATGCCCATGCTACTCCCCAGAACTCCGGTCGTAAGTCAGTCCGTTAATCATTATTTCTTGACACCAGTTCCGGCAGGCAGCACCTTGGTGCAATCGGTCAGATCGTTGATATTGAACACTCCAAGCAGACTGAGACGGAGGTATTCCCTCGCGTAAGCCTGTCTGTCTGTTAGCATAATTCACAAGACTATAAATACCCGAGTGGTAACTTACAGCACCCCACACCGGCGCCTGCTGCGCGAAGGTGCGGAAAGCCGGGGCAGATCTGGGGTCTTTGGACAAGGCGAGGTCGCTGGGGAAGGTGACAATCTCGTTATCCCCCGCAGCGAGCGTCTGCTGGTAGAAGAGGACGTCCCAGACCGCAGGCGTCGTGTCCTGAGGGGCATTTGCGCGCGACGGCTCGAAGAACCGCTGGCGGCTGGTGGTGTGCGCGCCAACAAGGGCCGCGAGGCCCGGTGCCGTGATGGTTTTGTTGCCAAACAGCTCAATAAGCTTGTCCGCGTTGTCTCTCGGGTCCGGCAGCAAGCCGTCAGGGGCCGCCACTGACGAATCCTTGCGGCCGATAAACGTCTTGATTCTCGGCCCGCCGGGGCACGCCACAGTCGCCGTGGTGGCGGCGAACTGGATCAGGTCGGCCATGCCGGCGCCATACTGCTTGAACTTGTCGTGCCACGCCTTCATCTGCACAGCAATATCCCCCAATCCGTCATTGGCGGGTCGTCCAATCTCCTCGGGTGCGAGGATGATGGATCCATCAGCACCGCCCAGGTCGCCGGTGCCTTTGCTCCATCCGGCGGCGTCGTGGAAACCCAGGCGGATGGACGCGCGAGCAGAGTCGGTGCAGCCGTTGGCGTCGCGGAACTGGGGCATCAGCTCGTCGGCCACGTGCTTCCACACGCAACACTTGTCCGCACTGCACTCAGCACTGCCAAGGTTGGGGACGCTCGCCTCGGTGTCGTCTGAGACGGGGTTACCGTTACCAGTCAGAATGCCCTTGACGTCTTTGCCAACGTCAGAGAGATTATTGTCGGGGACGCTGAGGAGGTCGCCGATTGCTTCGTTGTCTTCGGCTCGAGCGGTGAAGCTGCCGGCGTTGAAGCCACCGCCGTTGGGACCGTTGCCGTTGGGACCTTTGCCGTTGAAGCCACTGCCGCCACTGCGACTCAGCTTGGTAACCAGGTCCTCGTGGGTCATGCCACCCGGGATCCGGCCCATGCCAGGGTAGGCGGCGACAATGGCCGTGAATGCCGTAAGGAGGACAGCTGCCTTTCTTGAACGAGCCATAATATGGAGTTGAGGGATTTGATTGCTGGAAGGAAAGCGACAGTATTGGGCGAGACGGAAACGAACGTGGAGAGAGTGCTAGAGCGAATGACTAACTGTTTGTTTGCTGGATGGTGTTTCCAACTCACTGCAGATGGAAGGGCTTACAACTTCTAGTTATATAAGTGCCATGAACTGGGCTGCCAGTGGCGGCGGAGTGATAACTGTCCTGCGCGATAGCCACATTCTCAGCGATCACCGGGGGCTCGGTCCCGAGAGGGCATGCAGGAGCCATTAGTTCGCTTCAGACATTGAGGCACGGATGCGATGTTTCGGCTCATATGGTAGTCAAGCAGAGGCAGCATATAGCACAGGATGTGTTCCTCGTGGGAAACCCACGAGAGCCCGTTGATGGTTTGGCCCATTTGTCAAGTAGCTCTCGGGCGAGGATTTTGCCATCCATCCGAAATGTCATCTTACGTGGCGTTGTCAGCATGCTGTCTCCAAAGCCATAGTCTGATGCTAACCCCCAAGTCAGGGCACACAAGGGTCCGTGACCAAAAGAACAAACGACTCGGAGTGTTTCCCTCTGGGGATTATCAACCAGCTGTATTTTCCGGACGCTATCTTTGGCATAATCTGGAATTTCCGAACCTAGTGGCCAACGCTCAATCCCATTGTTCGGATGCTGTGAGTAAGCTCAATCTAGCTCATCCCAACCTCCACCGGCCCTGGAAATAACTACCCGGTGGTTGATCGGCTATCGATGCCGTTGGATGAACTCTTGAAGGATGGACGGTTCTGTTCCATAATTCAATGCCACCCTTCCTTTCCTTCTAGCAGATGGACGACGTGGCTCATGTTGATAATGGCGATCACGGCAAGGATCTTCCCGGCTGTTCACTGCATGCATCCCGCATCCCACTTATTTCCTTACGACCCTATCTCGAACATGCCAAGCAAGACTAGTTCGAATCAGCGAACCTGTGAAATGGATCTTGAGAGCGTCACTCCCGAAAGTGTGGCGTTGCATCTCGATTTGTTCCTTCAAGCTTTTGACGTGTGGCTCAGACGGTTGCCTCCCACTTCCCGTGAGCGAGAACAGACCAAAATACCCAAGACGTGTCGGCTGCACGGCAAAATATGCTCTCATGAATGCCGTCGCTAACGTGAGTGCCGGCCGTGCCCCAGTCTCTCGGACATCCGAGCTTACACGTCCGTGCCGGCACCCAACCATACATTCTGGATTTGGAACCTCGCTTGAGAGTCTGGAGATCATCCGCTACCACCAAGACGCGGGAAAAAAAAACACAAAGGGGAAAAAAAAAGAATGGCGGAAACTAATGCACATGTCGGTCTTCGCCACGATCCCGGCCCTTGCACGATGACCCAGTATGCCGGTTGCCGAGATCGATGTTGCCTCCAGCCTAGCTCCTGCATGCGTAACTGGGGGTTTTGGCAGGAGAGCAGGGACGCCGAAGGATTCCTCCAAAGAACGATTACGCGGCTCCGGATGACCATCCATCCGTGAGGCTCGTGATCTTGGAAGTCTCCCCCACCGCCCTGCGTTCTAGCCTTCTAGATACCGGTGGTAGGATGCTGGACCTTCAACGAAACGCTCGAAATACCCTCAACTAAACCGCAGCTCTTTGTCAAGTCTCGGTGCTTTGCTTGCACCCGATAACCTCTCATGGTGTATAGGTAGTGTACTGTTCAGAAGCCCCAGCTCGCGATTAATTGGCACCAGCGATGCTCGGAAACGCGGCACGGTTGAAAAGCAATAACGTGCACCTTTGGGTTATCCTTTATTGGCCAAAATAAACGACTGGGAATCAGGCAAGAAGCCTCTGTTCTTCCGTACAAGACACATAAAATGAGACAGTTGACGACATTAATGGACTCATAACCGGCCAGTTGGCTAGAAAAACATCTTGACTGTCTCCGTCAAACGCTAAGCGTTGTGGCGACAGCAACACCAAAAGCAAGCCAAGCACCCACATCCACAGTAACCATCCGCCACCAATTGACACTCAACCAATCATCCAAAATTCCGTTGACATCATCCTCTGCTTCAGCCTCCACTAAAGCCTTCACATGAGGCGCGACGAGCGGAGCATAAGCCAGATGGCCCGCCGACAAGGTCGCACCGGCAGCATACCACCAAAAGGTCCCCTTGTTCTGCAGCGCCTCCGGCTGCTTGTACAAGTTTGCGGCGGCCGTTGAGACTGACACGGCGACGAAGCCCAAGACGACCCAGACGCCACGACGGAAAAATGTATCGAAGTAGGGCTTCAGCAACGGTGCGCTCTTCTTGCGGGCCTCGGTGTTGTCGTTGAAGAGGCCGAGGAAGAAGTGTTGAGCCCAAGCGAAAAGGAGGGTGCCAGATGACGATACCAGTGGCGCAACGCGCAGCGCGACCATGGGATCAAAGAACAGACGAGATGCCATACTGATATCGACGTTTCGTCACTGATCGATGAGCTTGTTTGCAGGAGAAACGCTCGGATGATGATGTAGCAGCTGAGCAAAGGCACGATGTTCGACAATCAAGGTCCCAGGTAAATTTGGAAACGACTCGTGGCAGGCTGCGGACAATTAAGATGGCTTCGTGCCCCCGTCAGCATTTAGTGGCTTTCTTATGTAGGGCGGAATCTCGGGGCTTTTCCCGTCACGACCCCGCCGAAGGATCTCATCGTATGACAGTCAGCTCACGGGCGGGGAACGTCCCATGCAAGGAAAATTGCTTAGAATTGTGACCTTCAATATGTAGTTGTTTTTAGCAAATCCCCAGAAGATTGGCACAAGTCGGTTTCATCCAGTATTTGGAACATAGTTATTAGGCGGGGCCGGAAAGATCCCGCTGGCCTCCCCGGGTATCTCGGGAACCGGATACAGGCATCAACTTCTCTCCGAAGGTGATAGTGAAACCAAAATCATGGCAACTGCTCTCACAAGGATAGGTATGGAAAGCCGCCTGTAAAAAACATTTGCCTTGTCGACTTTAAAATATTTGGTGATAAAGGATTGAGGATTAAGAGAATGGATTACCGAATCGGCGAAATGCCGACCCTCTTTCGGTTAAAGTGCACTACTTGGAAATAAGACATTCCAAAAAACTGCAAGATTACTAACGAAACCCAAGCCAGCAACCAAATCTCTTTCCCCCGCGGTAGTGGCGGCCAATCCTTCTCAACCCATCAGTAATAGCTCCTCATGGCATCCTTGTACGACTCTCCTCCTTTGAGATGGAGATCAAAGCTATTCTGGACATCCAGGACCTGCTTGATGTGCTCCATGCTAAGGGGCTCACCCTTGTTGACGGCCAAGGCTTGTGCAGTACGGACAGTGTTCTTGATTTGTCGGCCATTTAGGTCGTGCGTTGCGAGGCTGTCGTAGTCTTCGTCGCTAAAGGGCTTGAGATCGACCTTTTCGAGGACACGGACGCGTTCGATGAAGATCTTGAAGATGGACTTCTTGGCCTTGTACGTAAGGCTCTCGTACCGCAGGGCGATGTGGATCCGTGACTGGAAAGCGTCATCGAACGTCTTGCATGGTGTTAGTGGGTGCCACAATACGTTGTTGCATAGGCGGACATACCTCGACTCGGTTCGTCGTCAGGAACAAAATGCCCTGAAAGTACTCCAGTTGACGCAAAAAGATGCTGACCAACGCGTTGCGGGCAATCTCATGGAGGTTTCTCTTCTCAAGGAACACGTCAGCTTCGTCAAGGAGGAGGATGGCTCCCCAGGCATGACAAATGTCAAGGATCTTCTGCAACTCCGACTCGAGGTAGCGCGAGTCGGTGCCCAGCTCTCCGGCGGATGCCATATAGAGGGGGCACTTGAGCAGCTCGCTTATGCCCTCGGCTGTCAGTGTCTTTCCTGTGCCAGGAGGCCCGTGGAGAACGGCTGGGTGGATGTTAGAAAAGACGATGAAGCAAAGTGAAGCGATCCCCATGGCATGCAAACTTACCGACAAGCCCCTTTCCTTTGCCTTGAATCACGTCATCAATACTCTCCGCAGCGTGATACTTGTGCGATTCGACGAGCGCCTGTTCGTATCGTCAGTCTTTATTATGCACGGTGAACACAAGAATGATGCACCTTAACAATATCTTTTTGCTTTGGCTCAAGCACCAGTGAATCGTATGCGCTGTCGTTCCATTGGATGTCTTTGACCCCGGAGACGGTGAACTCGAGCCACAGCTTCTCGGAGAAGGAAAAGCCCAGCACAACGGACGATGCAATGAGATAATCCTCTTCCGAGAACTCCGGCACCTCCTTTGACTTCTCGCTTTCTTGACGAGATGCGTCGGATGGGCCGTCAGCCTTGACGTCTTTGACCAATTCGAGCTTCTCCGCTGGAGCAGACTCCTCGAGATCAGACTTTGGGACCTGAACCATGCGAACATTACCCTTTGCGTCACGCACGACCTTTGTCACCATTTTCCCGCAGGCATCGTCGTCACTCCCACATCCATTCTCGGAATCCGAGCCTTGACCACAAGGCTTCTCATCGTCGGAGTCCTCGGAGTCGGACAAGACATCGTGATCCTTGGGTCGGACGACGGAGACCTGGTAGTTGGGGTTGATCCTGCGATGGATGGCCGGGTCGACCATGACGCGGCCGTTGATGTTTACTTTGATCACTGCTTTCTTCTTCTTATAATACGCGAGGCCCTGGTGGCTTCGGTAGTGCACGCCGCCGAGCTGCACGAACTTCTTGCCTCGATCGATCAAGGCGGCCTTTATGGCCACTTTATCTTTGTGGAAGTCGAGAGAGAAGGCACTGAGACTGTTAATCTTGCGGGCTCCCCGGAATTCGGGGACCTCTTCGCAGAGAGTGCCGTAGCCGAACTGCTTTCCGTCGAACTCAAGGTACTGTTACGGTATAAATTAGTGGTTTGAGAGGATGCGGGGAAACCCAATGGCACTCACTTTGCCATCGACCCAGTAAAACTCTCCTTTGGTCATGCTGCTCAGTTTCTCTGCTTGCTCCACCTTGAAGACTCGAGGCTCATCGGGCGATCCATAAGTCGTTGTGTAGACAAGCGTGTTGGGCTTGAAGAGCGCCCAGAGCAGTTCGAACGTGATGAGTCCGTTCTCAAGCATAGGATAGAGACTGGACACGTTAACGATCTTCCTATCATGCACGTCGGGTCACCGTACCTCTTCTTGACGTGAGCATAATCCTTGTCAAGGTACTTCAGAAGAACTTTGAGATGCTGCCGCTTAGTTTTGATGTGCTTCTTGTGCTTCTTGCGCTCTTTTTTGTCGGTGCCCACTATCGCCGTCTTCTTCAGCTGTCTGTCATACTTGCGAAAGTCTTCCAGATACCTAGAATTGGTCAGCTAAGGACTGAAGCAACTCTACCTCGCAGTAGCCCTTACAAAAACAGCATATTGGGGTTGAGCTTCGGCGTCTCATCTACCAAGCTGACGCCTTTGATGTTCCCCATGACCTCTTGCAAACACTCGCGTAGAACTTTGCTCTTGATGTCGACCAAGGTAGCTTTGTACTTTCCCTCCCAGTCGAACGTCCGTCTGATCTGGAGCACGTAAGCGTCGTACTGCGTTTCCGAGGTGGTTGCCGCCGTGTCCTGTAGCTTGTACTGGTGGATGGCGCTGTCCCAGACTTGGTCGACTCTCTTGAAGTCCAGCTTCGACTTCTTCTTGGAAGACGGCGGGGCTGCCCGCCCTCGCGGTCGCGCTCTGTTGCCGAACACGGGGTTCTCACCGAGCCCGCCATCTCCCAGACCAAGGTTGCCGCGCCTCGGAGGAGGAGGCCAGAAAGACGGGGCATTGTTGTTGCCGAGCGACAAGGAGCCATTGTTGCGTTGCCACTGCTGGAACAACTGCATCTGCTGATTCGTCATCGGAACTTTGGTCAGACCGTCCTCATCTTCGTCATCTTCGTCGGCGCTATCGGCCGCGGAGTCTGAGTCGGTATCGGACGAAGAAGACGAGGGGGACGGGGATGGATCGCGCTTCTTGGACGGCTTGCTCTTCTTGGTGGAACGAGGAGCGACGGAACGGGCTTTTTTAGCCGTGGTATTGCCAGAGTGCTTTTTCGATTTGGCTTTGCGTCTGGACGATTCGCCCTCCGAGTCGGAAGACGTGGAGTCGGAGTCGGACGAAATATCATCGTTGGCAGACTCGTCGCTGTCGTCCTCCGTAGCGGATGCCGAAGAGTCCTCATCGTCTTCGTGAGAGGCCTTCTTGTGCTTCTTCGCTTTCTTCTTGGACTGCTTCGCCACTTTGTTCTTGACTGACTTCTTCTTGCTGTCCTTGGGGTTACGTGAAGACTTGGCTGGATGAACCGGGGCGACGGCAGCGGTGGCCGAGTCTTTGCCGGGTTCCACCTCATCGGCGGGGACGGGGTCAGCCGGCGCGCTTCCCAGCTGCCGGTCTGCAGAAGCGACGTCGAGAGAAGACATGGTGGAGCGTGCCGATGCGAGTTGCGGAGATCAACGAGTAAAAAATCCAAAGTTCTAAGGATATGAAATCGTAGGGTCTGTCTTGTCAGATGCAAAAGAGAGTAGAGTCTCGATATTCGGGCGGCAGTACCGACTCGGTCCGGCTCGGTTGAGACAAAAAAAAGAATCGATCCGTCAGGAAGGGCAGGGTTGGCTTTTATCTCCCTCGAGATGGAAGACGCGTTCAGGCAAAGAAGCTCCTAGCTGGAGGTGCAGGAAAAGCTGTTTCCGATAATTCTGCAGGCTGCAGGCAACATCAAAATGGTTCGCTCGATCGAGTTCTGGCTGCAGGTGTCTCGGATCTCAAGTGAGGTGAAGTGGTCTCTTGAGATGAATGGTGTGTGGCTCATTCAGAACTTGCCAAGAATATCATCGGTCGAAAAGTCCATTCACCACCATCTGCGTCGCACCTACTTGAAATACTCGCTGAACCTTTCGGCAAAGACTGCCTCGTCAGCACAGGTCTCCTTAATTAGTGCCTGGGCAGGTCTTTCTTCAAAGTTGTGTCTTATGTAGGGTCAGGCAGAGCAGGAGCTCCACGACTCTTTGCCGCCTGCGTCAGATGACCAGAATGGGATTGCTGCATTAGCCAAGTGTGAAAGGAGCTAGAAAGCGGTGTTGCTGATGGCGCCTGGCGTCATTTTTGACCACTGGTTTGTTTGCCTTGCGCCTTTCCAACGTGTACCGCATCGGCCGTGCTCTGTATGGAGAGGTTGGAATAAGGCAAAATGTCTGAAACTAAGGTGACTCGAACCTCCGCCATGTGACATTTAGTTCTGAGGCTCGCAGAGAACCTCCATATCCCTCCTCCAAGGATGGGCCGAGTAGTTTTGGAAGCTCTTTCTGCAGGCACTGCGGCGGTAGGTTGCAGCAAGCAAAAAAAAAAAACCCCCCCAAAAAAACCCAGGCTTAATAGAGTGTTTGCCCGCCTCAAAATCCATGGGATTGAATGTCAAAGTCCTCGTGGCAGGGGTTGGCTGGCTGGCATCCGCCGCCTGTGGAATTAGCGGAACGTCGCTCGCGTACCATTAGACTTCCGATACTCAGCCTCATCATAGGCAGATTCAAGACATCAAAGGGAAACACGATCCGGGGATGGATGGGCAAGCTGGGTTCCTTTGCGGGGACGGGTTGTTCTTCTGCCTGGCTCCGCTTACGCTCTGGCTGTGTATGTATGGGGCATTTTGGCACACAACACCACCCAACGGGAAAGTGGGCGACATCGGGCGGAGAACTGCTCCGCGTTCTGTGCAACCCTTGAACTTGGCCGCTGCGTGTACCGTCTGCATCTTTATGCATGCCCGTTGAGCTGCTGCGAGGCGACCCGAAAACGTATGGTTGATAACGCTGCCAGGTTGCACTGCACAGCCATGTCAGAGTGAGGCATCCGCTCCTGCGATTGGCGGTTGAGGCCTCCTGGGCCGTGGCTGGTGGCATTCGCAGTGTCTGTTAGCTGAGCCGGTCGGATCCTGACTGGTGCCGCTGTTACCTTATCTGGACTGAGGGCGTGATCGATGACTGCGGTAAGAACTGAAATGTGCAATAAGAATTTCAAATGTGCAATAACACTAGCCATAAGTACCCTCTGAACTCAAATTATGTTATACTAGGCCTAAAACAAGAGGGTATATTATGATTATAGTTCTAGATTATAGAACTTTATATTATTATATATTTATTATATACTTTAATAAAAAAAGACTTTATATAATATAAATTATTAGTTATTTTTTATTTTTTTATATAAATTTTTATTATATTTAAAATTTATATTAATATTACTATAGTTATTATTATACTTTAAAAACTATTTTTTTATTACTTATTACTATAATTAATTATTATAAATAATTTATTATAAAATTTAATTATTTTATTATAATAGTTATATTTAATATTATTATAATAAAATATTAAGCTAATAAAAATAAAAATAAAAAAAAAGTTATTAATAATAATAATATTATAACTATATATTAAATATATTAAAAGCTTTTTTTTAGTTTAAACTACTATTTTTTATACTTCTTTTATTTTAATAAATAATAATTTTAAGTATTATTAAAATAACTTATAAATAATATACTTTTATAATTATTTTAAAACTTTTTTATTAAATAAAAAGTATTTATTTATTTATTTATTTTATTTTATAATAATAATTTTAGTTAATAAGCTATTATTTACTTTTTTATATTAATTAATTAATTATATTTTTAATTTAAAATAAAGTTTTATTATACTTTATAAAGCTTTATAAAATATATATTATTTTTTATAAAAAAACTAAAATCTTAAAAAGAATTAAAAGTAATAAAAAACTAAATAAATACTTTATTAGTTATATTAAAGTAGTTAATAGTATACTTATTAGTATATATATTTTTATTACTACTTAAAAGAAATAGTATAGTTAAAAAAAAATAGTTTTTTAAAATATTTTTATTACTATTTATTTTAATAATAGCTTTTTATTTATATTTATTAAAGCTAAAAGGTTAATTTATAATATTAGTTTAATTAATTTTATAAATATTAAAAAGTTTAAAGTTTTTAAAGGCTAGTATTTTTTAAAAGATATAAGGTTTAGTATTTAGAATAATATTATTATTCTTTATTTAAAAACCTATTACTATTTATAAGATTTTAAGAATATAAATAAACTACTAGAAATAGCTTAAAAGTTATATAATCTTTAGTATAGTTATTTTTAAATAATTATTAAGTAAATATTTAGCTACTTAAAACAAAAATAAAAAATAATTACTTTTTTAGCCTTAAAGTATAATTTAAATATATAAGTATAAATTATTTATATAATAATAAGCTTATATAACTTTTTATTTTATTATACTAAAAATAAAAAGTATAATAGTAATATAAAAAACTAGCTTAATATAAATAAAGTTAATAAAAAGGCTAATAAGTAATATTTAAGTTAAAGTATAAAATAAATTTATAAAAAGATAACTAAAGTAATATAAGAATAGTAGTAAGTATAAGAGAAGTAAGAATTATTATAACTAATTACTATAATTTATACTTTTTTTTTTTAAATATCTTTTATTATTTCTTTAATAAAATTAAAGTTATAAGCTTATATAGCCTTATAAGCTATATTAAAAACCTTCTTTTAAGAGGTTAAGTATACCTTAATAAGTAGCTAAAGCTAAAAATAAAGCAGTAAAACCTTTTATAGAGGCTTAAAAGCCTTTATTATTAAGTAACTAAATCTTATAGTTACCTCTTAGTTAAAAGTAACTTTATCTTATATCTTTATAGAACTAAAAAGAATCTTTTTTTAAGAAGATAAAGTAAAAGAGCTTTAAACTTATATTTATATTAATAATTTATAATAATTAGTTATAGTAATTAATTTACTTTTTTAATTAATTACTTAATAGTTAACTTAAAGTCTTAAGTTAAGTAGTAACATTAAATAGTATAAAAAAAACCTTTATTTTATTAACTTATAGTAAAGTAATATTAAAAAATAAATTACTTAAAAAATAATTAATTAATAAAGTTTATTAGTTATAAAATTTTAATTTTATTTACTTTTTTTTTTAATAAAAATAAAAGATAATTTTTAAGAGCTTATAGTCTCTAAAAGTAAAAACCTTTTAATACTTAGTTAAGATTAACTAAAAAAAAGATTTCTCTTTTATAAAAATATTTATAGTAGCTAATAAACTTTAATTAAACTAAAGAAAACTTACTTTAGAAATAACTTTAAAGTAAATAGAAAATTAAACCTTTAAGTAATAGACCTTAGTAAAAAGCTAGTTAAGAGCTATATATTAATAGTTAATTATATAGTAATACTTTTAATAAATAAAATCTTAGTTTTATTAGTAATTTATAATAATCTTTTATAGTAATTATTTACTTTTTTATATTTAGTAATAAGTGTTTATATTTTTTACTAAATATTAATACTTTTAATAAAAAAAAACTAACCTTAAAGTTATAATAATCTTTAAAATTAGTTAGCTTTTCTTTTATTTACTTTTCTAAGCTAAGAAAAAGAATTTTCTTTTAGTTATTATTATTATTATTATTTTAAATAACTTAATTATTATTATTAACCTAAATAAAGGCTTAGCTTTTAAAAAAGGTTTAATAAAGACTAAGTTATATAGTAATAATTCCTAAATAATTACTTTTTACTTATTTATTTTTAAAGTTAAAAATAAGTATAAAATAGATAAAAAGAAAGTTATTTATGCTATAATAGTAATATTATTAATTACTTTAGCTTTTATATTAGCCTTAACTAAAGCTATACTATTAATATATAGCTAAGACTTTTTAAGAGTAGTTAGCTTATAATTTTTTTAGGTAATAAAGGACTTTTTAGTCCTCTTAAGCTCTTTTATTTTCTCTATTATTTTCTTAATACGCTTATAAGCTTTTTTAGTATATATATTCTTAAAGTAGCTATTATTAGCCTTTTATTTTATACTAATACTAGAGCCTAGTAGGTAGCTTAGAGAAATATTAGTTAAGTTATTATAATTAATTACTATAAACAAATAGATATAAATAGACCTTATAAAAGCTAAAAAAAAAATATCTTTAATAGTAAATAAAAAACTAAATAAAAGTTAAAATACTTTTAGAATAAATAAAATAATTAGTTTTTTACTTTTAAATTAATTTTTTTTTAGAGTTATTATTATTATTATTAAAAAAAAAAAATAAAGTTAAAAAAAAAGAAAAAGTAAAAATAAGTTAAAAATAATAAGTAGAATAACTATAAATTACTTTATTTTTTATACTTTTTTTAACTATTAATTATATTTACTTTACTTATATTTTTTTACTTATTTTCCTTTTTTCTTTTTTTTTAACTTTACTTTTTTTTTTTTAATAATAATAATAATAATAATAATAACTTTTATAAGTTATTTCTTTTTTTATTTTATTTTTCTTAAAAATTACTAACTATTTAGACTTACTATAATACTAGTAGCCTAAGCTTTCTATAAATACCTTTTAAAAAAAGGTATTAAAAAGCCTTTTATAAAGAAGAATAGCACTAAAAAGTCCTCTACTACTAAAGCCCTAGTAAAGAAACCCTTAGTTAAAAAGGCTACTAAAAAAACGCCTAAAAAGGTTATAGCTACCCCTCTAAAAAAAAAACACTAAAAGGCTAGTAGTAAATACTTATTTAATTACTATAAGTAATTACTATAATATTAATTTACTTTTAATTATTATTTTTTATAAAATCTATAAGTATTAAAAGTTAACTAACCTTCTAATAATAAAAGTACTCTTTTAATGTTTTTATAAAGAGATTATATATAATATTTCTTAATAAAATAACCTTTACTTTTAAAAAATAGTTATTCTTATACTTTAAGAGGCTATTAAGACTTATCTTATAGCTATATTTAAAGGTATATAATTACTATAATTAATTACTATAATAATTAACTTATATCTTTTTAGTTATTTAGTTAACTACTATTTATACTAAAAAAGTTACTATTATAAAAAAGAATATAAACTATATTAAATCTATTTTTTTTACTATAAAGCTAATAAGTAAAGACTAGTACTATTATTAACCTTCTCTAAAGTCCTTTTAGTTTCTTAGATAAAAGCTATCTAGTTTTAGTTCTAGTTTAGGTAAAAAAAAAAAAAAACTAGCCTAATTACTACATAAAAGCTTATACTTAAGTAATACTATAAAAGGCTTTAAAAAAAGAACTATAGTCTAATAAGGCTTTAAGAAGAGAACTATAGTTTAATAGTTAAGAGAAATACTATAAAAAAAAATAAGAATACTACTTAAGAAATATTTCTATAAGTAAACTAATACTAAGGATTACTATAAAAAATTATTATAAATAAAAAGATTTTATTATTAGTACTTAACTTCTTACTTATAAACCTCTATATAATATACTTTTTTTAACTTATTACTTAGTAATAAATTCTAATACTTTACTTTTAAAACTACTAGTTTTTTCTTTTTTATTATTAATTAATTTAAAATAACTAAATAAATGTTATAATTAAAATCTTTTTTAAATCTTATAAAGTCTTCTATTGCCTTATTAACTTTAGCTTTTTTTTATAATAATTATTTTCTTTTTTTTTTTTTTTTATAGCTTTAACTTTAATATTTTTTTTTTACTACTAAAGTATTTATTTTTAAGCTTTTATATTAATTTACTAATATAAGTATTAGCCTTAGTAATAATAAGTCTTTTTTTTAGTAATTTATTATTATTAATAAAGATATACTATTACTAGAATTATTTATTAGATTATTAGTTTTATAAAAATATAAAAGTATTAAGAAATAATATAAATAACTATAATAGTATATAAAAAGATTAACTTTTTTATATATCCCTTAAGTTATTATTATTATTTCTATTATTTTTCTTATTCTTATTTACCTTAAAGTTAATCTCTTAGTTATATATAACCTTATTAACTAATAATATAGTATTACTTTTCCTAGTATTTATACCTTATATCTCTTTATATAAATCTAATAGTCCTAACCCTTTTTTAAAAACCTACTTATACTTTAAATAAGTAATTAAAAAGTTTTCTTTTACTTTATTACTATAAAAAACCTTTTTATTATCTTTATTAAATATATTACTTAACTTATAAGTAATAAATATTTAAATAAAAAACCTTTTTTTTTTACTATTATACTTATTTTTTATTTATTTATTAGTTATAAGACTAATAAACTAGCCTTTAATATTAATTTATACTATAAGATCTTTAAAGACTAGTTTTTTTATAATAGCCTTATTAGTATTAAGGTTTTTATTATAATATAAATTAAAAAGCTTTTTTATAAAGTAATAAATAAACTTTAAAGTCTAAATAGTATAAGAGTATATTAATATTTATTAACTAAATAAATCTTTAAAAAAAATAATATATTACTTAAAAATTTATTATTAATTTTATTATATTTTTTATTATTATTTTTATTATAGACTTTAGTAATATTTTAAGTAACCTCTTTATTAAACTATTACTTTTTTATTAGCTTTTTTTTTAATTAATATAATAAGTCCTTTTATTTATTAGTAATAAAAGCTAAAGTAATTAATTAAATAATAATAAAGCCTTTTATATTAATAAAAAGCTTTTCTTTATTCTATTAGTTACTTATTATAAAAGTATAAGTAATTATAGTAATTATTTATAATAATCTAATAAAAAATAATAATATAGATAAAAATAAAAAGAAATAAAGCTTATTTAGCCTAAAGAAAAAAGAAAACAATAAGGATAATAACCTCTATAGGGATAATAGTAATATATTACCTAATTTAAGCCTTAATAATACAAGAAACTCTACTTAATTTCAACCTGAGGTATTTTTTTACTACGGTATGGCTATTACTGCACTTATAACGCAGTCATCGATCAGGCTCTGAGTCGACTTTTTTTCTTCTAGCCCCGTGGTGTGATGCTCGTAAAACCGGCTGGCGCCCGTTACGTTACCGTGGCTATTTTTGTTGTCAATTGGTGCCATCTTGGCCCAAGCCATATTGATCATTTCCGTGCTTCAGACAACTTGTAAATCATGATGCAAATACCATAATGTGTATGGTATGGCGGCTGTCGACAACTTGGTTTTGCTCAATTCGTCCAATCTTTGGAAAAAAGCACTTGTCACGGGTTATAGCACGCACCCAGACGTAGGGAACAAATTTGACAGTGCTTGAATTCTGGAAAGGGGTGGTGGAAGGCTGTCGCCACACAGAAGTACGGCCCTCCGACGAGCCATCACGTAATGTGGCGCATGGCGAGGCTGAGCCCACCAGCGACAATATCACGAACCTGTCGTGACGGTACTCGAATCAAAGGCCTTTCGCTACAGGCCAGGTGTAACAACTTTTATATACGTGCTGTTTGGCTAATAGGCCAAAGCTCCTACTTCCAATGGCTCTATTTTCTTCAAAGCTTGCAGCGTAGACGAAAAGCGAATTGTCCGGCCGTTCAGTGCTCAACTTAATAGTTTGAACGCGTTGATACAGAAGTATTTCACTTGGAACTGGTCAATCAGGCAAACACAAGACGGATCACTTACATAAAAACGCGGCTGCAGTTCATATCAATGGAATGGTAGTCGCATCACTTATGCATTAGTTTCAGGATTCAAGGTATTAGCTTTTATGACTAGTTACGCTATTAAACCATTTGACTTCGCGCAGCTTGACTGAACCATAGTGCATTCAAAAACCGCTGTGACAGAATGTCACAGTTACTTTGTTCATGTCGGAAGGAAAAACCCATTTCGAGTGTGCGGATGATGGACGGAATTGCATTTAGAGGAGGTTGCAGATAAGACCACCGATGTTGAGCTTGTCGAGAATGCCACCGACAATGCCGAGGACAGTAGGCAGGAGGCCACTGAGAACCTCGAGGAGAAGGTCAATGACACCGCCAAGGGCGGACAGGACGAGCTTGAGGAGACCGTCGATCAAGCTGTTGAGGGTGCAGAGGAGGTGGAAGATGACGCTAAGGAGGACGAAGACAAGTGGGCCGAGGAGCTCGAAGATGCCTGGTTTCTGAGGTCAGCATGCTATGTGGCCGCTGTGAATACAGAAAGGGATACTTACTGATACCGAGGACCTTGATAACGTTCTTCAAGGAGTAGATGATCTCGAAGATGAGCTCGAGGACAGCGCTGATGATCTGGTCTTTCTCATCGCCAACGATCTCAGTGGTCTCGCCGAGCAGCTCGACGACTTGGCTAACGAGAGAGTTGATGAGACTGACGATGGCGGTGACCTCAGTCTTGACGAGCTTGATGATCTCATCCTTCTTCTCGGAGACCTGGCCGCCGGTGACGCCATCGACAGTGGAGTTGATAGTAGAGCAGTGCTTCTTGACCTCAACGATGGTGTACTGCACCTCGGTATAGACAACCTGGGCACGCTTGTTGAGGATCTCAGAGGTGGGAAGCTCGGAAAGGCCAACGGCGGGGACCTTGGGGACTTCGACGTCGGAGAGGAGGCCGCTGCTGGCGGGAGCAGCGTAGGTGGTCGCGAAGAGCGAGGAAAGGGCGACAAGGCCAATGTTGAGGAACTTCATTGTTGCGGTGGAGGGGTTTGAATTGGACTAAAGAATGTGATTAGTTGGATGTTGGTAAAGAATGACGAATACCGAAAGGTTCTGAAAAGAATGACTGAGTGAGAATGCTGATGATGAGAGGGAGTGAAAGTCTACAGTTCCGCTGAGTTGACAACATCTTAAGTATCCAGACGACTCAAAAGCGATACACCGTCACTCCCGATCACGATATGCAGAACCAGGGTTTGCAGCTTGTTCGCGACTCCTGAAAACTTCCCGACGATGCCGATCTCACTCCACACTGTCTTTCCCGTTGCAGGTCGAAATCGTCCGTTTGATGGGGAGGTCATGGGCTTCTTCCTTGGTCGTCGAATCCGACTTCAACTAGCTGCCTCCTTTTACTTCGTACCCTTGACCGTAGTCGTCATTACGCCGTTTAGTCTCTCTGTCAAATGTCACAATGGATGATCACCATTGGACTCACACGGCAGTCATCCCCTTTACGAGTGAGTTGGTGAGGATACGGTCCATCGTCAACCCATGGTGTTGACGATCTTCACCCTCTGGAACCCCCGCAGGATGTAGGAACGTTTCGCTAAGGCGGAGCGATGAAATTATGCTTGGGGTTTCTTCGCGTAGCCTACATGTAAACCGCTGTTCATGCCCCAAACCTTGATTGGGACGGGCCTTGGATGCCGCTGGTCCTACAATAGCGAGATGGGAATACAATTCAAAGGCTAGTACGATAGGACATGGCCAAATTAAATTCGATTGATTATCGCCGTCGACCCTTTTCGGTTCGGAAACATTGTTTCATTCATCATTGGAGGCTTGCACCCCCCCGTTGATCTGCGGGTTTACGCGCTCTCTGGCAGGGGCAGCCGAAGATCGTCATTTGGAACCACAACTCAATGCCGCCGCATTGGGTTGTCCTCCCTCATCGGGTGAAAGAACAATGGGTCGCCCTTTGGTACACTTCATGATTCTTCCATCACTTTGCAACCAAAGCATCTATATTTGATCAACCGAGAAACAAGGAAAATAGACTTACGGACTTGACCTATTTTATGATGTCTATTTTGTCATTTTAGTCATTAGTTTGATCGTGTATTAGGACAGTGTTTTCTGCCTGTACTAACAGAGACTGGCACGCTTTCAAATCACCCGCGTCGTTTTCGAACGAGCATCACATCTCACATCGTTTGCAGCCCGTAGAGGCGGTGAGATACACCTGTAGATGCTGCAGGGTCGACCTGGTCAAAGGTGTCAGATCACCATCTCAGGAATCCCCCCCCATGCCATTTCCTCCATTTGAACCCAGGCTGGCCTCTTTAGCGTCGCAAGGATCAGAACAAAATCATCACGTTATTTTCACTGAGCCTGAGAGGTTATGTAATTTATGTGCTTATGTCATTGGTAGTTGGCCTTGTTGCTGCCGAGACGCTAAAATGGGTAGCACTCGGGTTCAAATGGATAGCGGTTCTCCGTTGTTCTAGCGAGTATCCATTGAAAAATTTCCCGGGTCAGGCACCAAGATCGACTAGCTACTTTTGACAATGCGTTACGAGTAAGTACTTTGTTGATGTGTACTCACGCATTATCAAGAAAACACTCCTGGTTTGAGACGCAAATAGGGTACGGAAGCGCCATCTGAGGAAAGGATAATTCAGCCGCCGCTTTTTCAATAGTCTCAATTCAACTGTACCACCACCAACCCTGAACCATGGATTATAACCCAGTTCGCCACTTTCTTATGTCAATGAAGATAATGAAGAGATTTCCCCCCCTCTTGATCAAACCATTCCAATCTGGCGCTGTTGCTGCTCTCGGCAATATAGAAAGGTCGACGTCAGACCGGCGATTCACTTTTCGAGCCCCTTAAGAAATGGGAAGAAAGGGGGTAACACTGGCGGTGTTTTGTCAAAAGCGCGCGGCACTGACGCTGCTGGCCCAATAGAGTCTCAAGCCGTGATCTTTGGTGGACTGGACGCATGAATTCCGCGACTCACAAGCTTTTGACTGTGGCAGGACGACCAGTAGAGCATGTGGAATTGTGCAGAGTCATGAGTGATATCGTCAGCAGTTGCAGTGATATAGCATATACTTTGGAAATGCGGGCTGAAGATATTTTGTGGCGGTCGATTGCCTAGATCGCGGTTCGCGCGAGGACTCTTTCTCTCGATAAGCATGTCACTGGTAGCGGGGCTATAGATTGCATGGCTGCGGGGCTTCAGTGCGCTTTCATCCGGCCATGTCCAAAGCACCAACACTCGGCCGAAGTCGTTGTCGGACAATCGCCATGGGAACCTTCTCAGGGGTAATACGACGGCGCGACCAATTCTCCCCCTGGAATAGTGGGGAACAAAAACCTTGCCGAAAATGCAGACGACCTCTCCTCAGGGAGGGCGAGGGCGAGGTGGTGTTTTACACCAGAATTGTCTCCACGTGTGTCAGAATGCCGATCCATCCGCGTCATGTGGAGTTTCCCAGTGGAAATGGTAACAATTACCGAAGAATGCTGATTTTCAAGGGAGATCGACGAGGATTTTGGAGATCAAGATTGGGGAGGGGGGGAAGCGAGCGATCAGTAAGTGACCAACCCACCATTTCTCGATATTGCCTGCGGTAACGATGTGCTTCCCGCCCCTTGGCAATATAGCTCGTATGGTGTTGGGCCTCTCAAAGACAATTGCGACATCATCTGGTGATGGGATTCACCAACCATCCATCAGCGCCTTTCCCTAGCAGCATGCGGCATCACACGGTCACCGCTGCGTGTGTTGGTAGAGTGCCTGCGCCTCGCATTCAAGCGATTGCCGACTACACATACCGAACATCGGTGTTGGCCGAAGTGGGAGGGCTTGCAACTGCTCGAGCGCAGCGGCGGACATCCCAACTTCAGCACAAGGAACGGCCTGCACAGAGTTCTAGGCATGACAGATGGCAGGTGACAATGACACCAGACGCGAGTGTCATCCAATGCCCCCATTTCCCTACGCAGTAGCAAAGCGTTGCACCTGTGTTTTCTAATTTTCGTCAGCTTCGTCCCATCTTAGCCGATGAATCAGCTCCTGGTGGACATTTGAGCCGCAAGTGGGCGGGGGAGGCAACGAGAGAGGGGCACGGGGAGATGCGTGCTTGGCACTTGAAACATGATGTGTTCGGGTCTATCACGGCGAGTGCCGCAGCGGTATCCCGGCATCCCTCACTCAGGTGAGTCCTCCAATGCGGGTTTCATGAGGATTTCCATGCCTTTCCCCTTTTTCTCCAAGGAAGACGGCTGCACGGGCGGTAGCACCGCCGGCCAAGACCGAGTCGCCGGTCGGTTTGGCCGTTTGTGGAATCTGTAAGTTTCTATGGCCGCTACCGAAATGCGAGATCCTTGCGGCAGATCTGTTAAATGTTTGGTGGACGGAATGAGTTCAGAGATGCACGCGTCCGTCGCGAGAGAGAACTCAATGTGTTGAGCGCACGCTGGCTCGAGTTCAAGACGAAAGATCCCCGGTTTGTGTCGATTCATAGTTCCTGACATTGTTTTCGGGTATTATCTCCGTCAAAGCTCGGGGTATTGGAAGAACCCCCCGGATAAGATTTTGTCGCCATCCAAGGTCTTGAAGCTTACTCTCTTCCTCAGCATAGAGAAGAGGAGTGTTCCGTAGTATGCATACAATCAAGTCGTCCAATCCTATCGCGTCTGATATCGACATCAGTGTCATCCAGTATCACAGCCCGCGCGGACATTGGCCGATTCCTGGACGATATTGAAGCGCATGCGCGATATCGCCCCCGCCCCACCACACATTGACTGTCGCGACCCTGTGGAAGGTGCCGCGACGTTTCACTTGACGCAGACGTGATGGGGCGGACGGCTGGCTGGTTGACTGCTTTGGGAGGTTTGCGTTTGGAAACTGTCAGGCACTCGGCACTCGCGATGACCAGCTAGGGAGAGTGCCGCCAGCATTCACCGTCAGGTTGTTTGCCGTGACGATGGTCTCGTATCAATGCTCCTCACGACTTACTAGATTATAAAGCGTCATGGTTTCCCGCCTTCTAGCCGAGAATTCTGATCCCTCATCATCATCAACATCTTCTTCTTCCTCTTCCTTGCCTCTGCTTCTTACTTCAACGCCGATTGACTCGTGCGGAACCATTGTTTCTTTTGCTTTTCTGAACGATCCTACGTCCTCGCTTTAATCCAATCAACTTTTTTTTGATTAACCTCAATCCAACCTTTTCTCAAGATGCTTTCCAAGACCCTTCTTTTGGCTCTCGTCGCCGCTCCCTTCGCTGCTGCTCACGGCAAGGTCGCCGCCGTCGTTGGCGATGCTGGCGGCAACGGTACCGCTTTGGGCATTCAGGGAGGTGTGGTCCCTGGTCCCGGTCCCAACAAGAAGGTAGGTTCTCCCAGGTAGGATAGAAGTAGTACAAACGATCAAGGCTAATATCGGTTCGGTTTAGACCGAACTGGACACCACCGTCTTCTCGAGCAAGAACATCATGACCGACGGTCTCGGAAAGACCACGGGCCAGGGCAAGGTCAAGCTCGATGACATCAGACAGGTGATGGAGCTGTCCGGCAGCACCCTCCCCCAGGTCTCTGCTACTGGCGGCAACATCACTGGTACTTTCCACATTGTCACCACCGACGGTGCTGGCTCTCTGCAGGCCGTTCTCGACACCACGGGAACCGGCGCCTTCTCTCAGGGTACCAAGCTCCAAGTTCTCCAGCAGGTTCCCGGCAATGGTGGCAACATCAGGCCCAACGGCAAGGTCCCCGGCGGCAAGCGCTCTCTATGGGAGAGGGCTATGAGCGTCATCACCAAGCGTGCTTCCAACGTCAACATGGACTTCGTAAGTGTCACTGCACATCGGATCTAATAATCCAGTAGAATTGAAGAACGTCTTATTAATTCGTCTATTTTCTGTAGCCCATGGCCTTCGCAGTGCCCGCTGGAACCACCTGCTCTGGTTCCATGGGTGGCCAGAGCAATGTCTGCTTGGTCAAGATTGCCAACAGCAACGCTGCCGGTCCTTTTGGCGGTGTTGTCCCCTTTCAGATTGCCGGCAGTGGGTCGGACACTAACACCACCGCCACGAATGGCAAGCGCACTGTTGAGTTCCAGGCATAAGTAATAAAACTATTCGTTGCTTTGGGTGTACCAACTCGGACGATGGAAGCTGGCGCTCGTGGCCGAAGACCCCTGGTGGGCAGATAGCAAAAATACTGGGCAGAGAGGGGTTTCCTTGCAGATAGTTGCTAGCCCTGAGCTTCTAATACTTCCTCTAAAAAGCAATACATCCTTGTTGCATGGGACATGATCACCGAGTGTGCCTTCTGGGTTTGCTATGACTTGTGTTGTCTTTTATGGAGTCCGCTCAACGACTCGAACTGTTTCAATCCACCAGTGCAACCCGTAGAGCTAGCGTTTTGGAACTCACAAACAAACGTAAACACTCTCTGGTAACAAGCATCATCTCTACAAATTTGACTCTGATACCGCCATGTCTCTTTTCACATGCTCCATGATAGTTTGGTATATTTGGTGAAGGAGACTCTTCGAAGCTCCGTCAGCCGCAAGCAATTCTTGGCTATCGGTCATTCAGAGACGAACCTTAGTTGGCCGTTGCTGCACAACCAAACCTAGCCTTCAGACAGTCATTGAAACATTATTCTACATGAAACCCAAGCGTGAACACCACGTTTTCACCTCCAGGTACAAAGTTTCTACCCCTCTAAGCGTCGACTCATGTGCGTCGTCTGCCATACATGGTCCTCCACATCCACCCACAGGAGAGTAAACCCTTGCCGTTCCCAGAACTTTATCGCACCCGGCAGAAACGGGTGTGTATGCAAGTATAGTTGTTTGAGGCCTGACTCTTTCGCAATTTGCACCAGAACCGCGACCATTTTTGATGCCAACCCGCCGCGTCGCCAGTCGGGATCAACATACAATCTCACAACTTCGACGACACCTTCGTTGTTTAAGTGGAATGCTGGAAATCGGTAGTCATAGTGTTGGTACCCAACGGTCGCAACGAGTTTGTTTCCGGAGCGGGCGATTAGGAACGCCCCTTGCGGCTGGTCGATGAATGTCTGCTGAAAGACCGCCAAGTCGTGCTCCGCCTTTTGCGCGCGCCACTCTTGGCTCAGGTGAGGAAACATCTCGGCGCGGGCTTTTTTGCTGAGCTCCATGATTTCGGCGGTGTCACCGGCCGTGGCAGGCTTGATGTTGAAATCCATTGTTGTGCTGTTGTTCCGAGGCTTTGATAGTGTGTTGACGTTAAAAGTGGGTTCTGAGGCAGATGCGTTCGTTCTAGATTAGGTTTGGTTGCAATTGACCAAGGACATTCAATTCGCGAACAATCGGGAGAGATGTTGAACAATTCAACAACTAACGATTTGACAGATGACACTTTGCTCATTCAGGTCTGAATTCGGGGGAGAAGCGAAATCGAAATTGCCAGATTGATAAGATGTAGCGAGATCGGCCCAGACTCGTTATAGACTCGTTGAGCCCCACACAGAAATAACGAAGAGAGATTTGTTCCCGGCACATGAGCTTACTAATTCTCGTATAACGACCTTGCCAAGGCGTCGAGCTGACAGTCTGACTGGGTCCCCCCAGCTACACTTTATCTTTCTTGTTCAAATGGAGGTCTGATAGTTTCATCAACGTGCTCGCAGGCTCATGATAGTGGAGAAAATTACCAGTGAATAAAAAACGTAACGAACCCTGATGGATATTACATTCGTGGTATAAAGGGTTACCTACCAGCATTACTTGGAAACATACCGAAATAGTCGCAATGGGCAGGTGAGTGTAGCGATTGAATTGGTAATGCTCAACCCATTCCAGCTCTACAGTGTGTGTAGATTTTCAAAATAAGCAGTTGCATTCGAAAGGCGGAGTAGCCTTCAACGAGAATGTGAGGTCTTGGTTTGGGATCAGATGTTCCTGAACTATTGCTCAGATGACCATGCTTGACTGCTCCATAATCTTATATGCCACCGATTCAGCGCTTACATCGGTGACATCAACGACCATCCCATCCAGCTTCGTATCTTCGTAGTTTTCGAGGTCGTCCGAGTACAACAACTCCAGTTTTCGGAGGCATCGCAGTGAAAACCCATCTGTGAGCTTGTTCAGAACCCGACCAGACTCGGTGACATATCCCGCGGAATTGACTGCTCGTAGGATGTTCTCATCTTCTTCGCAAGTCGTTGAAACGGGAAGGCAGTGGCGGTGCGATCGGTGTGCGGCCTGGAGTCACTCGATTGAACTGTCCACTTCGTTGTTGGCGTCAGTCTGGAAGTCAATAAATATGACAATCTTGTCCTTCTTGTCTTCGGCGAGTACGTAAAGCTCGAACACTCGTTTTGCGTGGCGAAAGTAGACAGAGGTTTGAGAACCACACAATGAAGAATGGCGGTACTTCATACAAGCTATAGTAATTGCACTGGCGACTGTTTTCCCAAAGAAACAGATTCTTCAGCACTACATCGAGTATTAACATCAGTTTTGACAACTACCTTTCTGTCTTCTCCACCCAACGGCGGATTTAGGCTGCATCGCAGTTCGCATTCACCAATTCACCGCAAACAGCACTAGGGCAATCGGTGCTCAGGCCGGCCGTAAAGATCTCGGACTGCGAACCAATAGACTCACTAGGTTTTATTATATAAAACCTTCGCGTCTCGCGTCTCGCGTCTCGCGTGAGCTGTTATATCCGAACTGGGCAAGCACTCACGTACTTTTGGAGTTGTAATAAAATTAGTCAGATGTTCTTGTAGCCCGTGCAAGTAAACTCATCGTCTATTCTCTTACGTAGGCAGTGGGATTAGAATATAAAATGGACAATCTCATCCCTAACATCATTGCTCATTTACCAGTCATTTTCCACTCAACTTCACTTGAATCTCAGTAAAATGACTTCCACAATCAATAGAATTCTGCTGAAGAACGGATTGCTTCTCATCCATGGAGATGACGGCAAGGTAACTCCGACGCGGGCGGACCTGATGGTTGAAGGAGATCGAATCATCAAAATCAACGACAAAATCGAAGCCAGCGTTGACAATGTCAAAGTGTTTGACTGCGAGGGTAAAGTAGTATTGCCCGGTTTCATCAGCACCCATCACCATGTCTGGCAGACCGCTCTCAAGGGCCGCCACGTTAACCAAACCCTGCTCGAGTACCTTCCGTCCGGTAATTTTAGCGGTGCCTTTTACTCCGTCGAAGATGCATTTTGGGGAGAGCTAGGTGGTGCACTGGAAGCGATCGATGGCGGTACCACTACTGTTGTAGATCACTCTAGTCTGAACTTTGGCCCCGAGTACCGTCAGTAAGCCTAGCACATCTAACCCTGATGCAAATGCTGACCTGACCAGCACCGACGATGATCCAAGCTCTCGCTGCTTCTGGAATTCGAGCCGTGTACTGTTACTGCGTTCCCAGAGTGTTGTCCAGCTGGAGTCCGCTTTCCTTGCATGATGACTACACTTCCCCGAATGTCCTTGAATCCTGGAAGTCGCTTGCAGCGAAGGGTCCATATGGAGATAAGAGAGTCGAGATCGGGTTCGCCGTAGATAATATTTACCAATCGCCCAAAGAGATGAAGAAGCTGTACTCGGAGCTTCGGGCTGCGAAAGCCAAGGTCATCACTTCTCACGCTACCTCGGGCATAGCGTTTGGAAATGGGCCCTCCGCAGTGCAGCTCCTCAACAGCCACGGCCTTCTCGGCCCCGACATCTTGGTCTCGCACGCAAACTTTCCCAAAGATGGTGATGCAGAGCTGGTTGCAAAGCACGATGTCTACGTCTCCTCGACTCCCAACACCGAGCTCCAGATGGGATGGCCCCCTATCGGTCTTCTTCCTGAGTTCGAAGCTCATTCCAGTCTGGGTGTAGATTGCCATTCCTTGGGCAGCAGCTTCATGCCGAGCCAGATGCGTCTTAGCCTGCAGTATGCTCGCACCGAACGTCAAGAGAACCTCCGCAGACAGGGCAAATGGAGCCGTCATGTCGGCCCTTTGGCCGAGCAGATTTTCAACCTGGCAACGGTTGGTGGCGCCAGAGCAGTCGGCATGGCCGGCGAGGTCGGCCAGATTTGCGTGGGCGCCAAGGCAGACCTTGTCATTCTCGATACCAACAGCCCTTCGATGTTCCCCGCCGCCGAGGAAGACCCTGTCGCTGCGGTTGTTCTTCACTCCAGTGAGCGCGACGTAGAAACCGTCATAGTCGGCGGTGTCGTGAGGAAGGAAGGCGGGAAGTTGCTGCCAGTAACTATTGTCAACGAAATTCAGGGAGCCAACAAATTGGGCCTTGATGGGAAGCAGTTCACGTGGAAGGATGTTGCCGTGAAGCTTCTTGAGAGTCGGAAGAGGTTGAACGACAAGGCAGAGGGCATTGACATGAAGGCTGTCGAGGAGGAAGTCATCAATAACTTCTTCATGAATAGCAAGGATTTAGTGGAGCAGGACTGATTCAAAGCGTCTTGTAATATATTCATGAATCATTCTGGATCATCGTCGCGAACTCCGATTCTCCTCATTTGCATTTCCTCCTTTCTTTTCTTTTGACAGACTGCTTTGGCGCTGGCCTTCATCCCAAATGGTCCGAAACGGACAACTGTCCAGACCGGAGATAACAGATGGAGTTTATTATTCCAGTGAGTGGAGGATGTCAGCGTGTCAACCCCACCTCACTTCGTCAACACCTGGACAACCATTCCGGTCTACAAGTTTCGTCAAACGTTCGGCAAAACATCAAGTTGGCCGAGCTCGAGGCCTTAATCCCGATCTAGTCAGTAGAGCTGCCTCTCGGTCCCACTCTCCTTGTCACCGACATAGCGGAGCCTCTATGGCGTGATTACAAAGACCAGACCCTTTTCGCAGCTAAATCCAAGGCATAAATCCTTATCAGCCATACCTTTCATCCCCGTTCGCATACGGTAACCTGCACACTTCATCGACAACCAAAATGCCAGAGTCAAAAGTCATCCCGGCCCCGACGTCGACGGTCGCAAAGCCCACCGCCACCTTCACAGGCGATGTTTACATGGAGCTAATCAACCGAGACGAGCACGCCGCCATCGCCAATGTTACCTTCACTCCGTGCGCTCGGACCCATTGGCATACCCACGCCGGTGGACAGATGATTAGGGTGTTATCCGGCACTGGATGGGTTTGTGATAAGGGCGGCGAGGCCCGCAGGATCAAAGCTGGCGACACGGTTTGGGCGTCTCCGGGAACAACGCACTGGCATGGCGCCGACGACGGAAGCATCATGACGCACTTTGTTGTTGGAATCGGTGAGACTAAGTGGCATGATGCCGTTACGGATGATGAATACAAAAAGCGATCGACAGAGTGAGGTGGACAAAACGTGAGTAACTAAGCTCTCATTGCTTCTGGGTCTGCAATCATACTGATTCTTCATATCGAGAAACAGACAAATCTCAATAGTATCGCAACATACGTGTGGGCTCAGAACACTTAAAGTCCATCGAAACTTCCAAACAAAGCAGTCGTTCCCAACCACTCATCCTCGCCTCTCGTACTTGCCCGTAACCTGAATCTGCGGAGTTTGGAACACATCCCAATTGTCAGCAGCTTTAGGGTTTCCAAAAGGCTTGAGTGTGGCAAAGCGCATGCTGGCTCATCTATGTTAGCAACTTGTCCAATCTCATGGTAAAATATGAGTTTACTTACGTGTAGTTGCCAAGCTCAATCTGGGTTCCATTTCCAAGTTTGCCGAACCACCAGAACTCATGGTACGAATTCTGCGTTTGAGCATTGCGGAACAAGTCGACCTGGGGTAGGTCCATGTGTCATCGGGGTCATAGACGTTGGGATCGAAGTAAGAAACGCTGCCTGCAACGACATGGCTGGTCGCAGGGCCTATGTAACCGTTCTTTCCAGGGACGGGGGGATATTCCCATTGCCTCTCAGTCCAACCGGCTTCGTATATCTGCGAAATTCAGTCTCTTTCCCTAGAGGAAGCACAAGACCTTGCTCTACTTACATCCCATCGAACCTCCTTACTTCCCCAAATAAGCTTAGAGTAAATGATTGGGAAGTCGGCGACCGAACGTTCTAAGTTGAAGGAGTAGACACTTTCCAAGTCAGAACAGTGGATTAATTACCATTTAATAATGATGGTTGACTTACTAGTCTCGTTGAGTAGTGAAAGGGTACGAAGGGCGGTAGATAGGGCTGACTTCAGCCTTCAAGTTCGCTCCGAGTCCTTTTATAGATTAGTGCGGACCATCTTCGGAAGAGCGTTGGTAGGAACGCTTACCTAAATAAGGCACAGAGAGCTGCTCTCCGCTGTTGCCTGAAATGATAACTTTCCCACTGTAGATGGGCAGAGAAGAAGAATTCCACCCCAGAGTATCAGGGTTGGGGAAGTTGACGCTGATATAATCAGTTTCTTTCATCGAGTTCCGAGGTCTTAAGACACTGCTTACCTCACAGTCTTGCTCTCACCAGGTTTCAGCGTAAAATCTCTCGGCACAGAAACCTGTACCGGCAGGCTCTTGGGTGTTAACTCGGTAAAACTTTTCAGCCTCTTCTCCCCTCCCCAAGGTACAACGAAGGGGTACCAGCCGAGGATTTCCACACCCGCAGCCGCTTCATACGAGAATTTGTAGCTAACATCCTTGGACCCCTTGTTGGTTACGGTCACATCGTGATAACGGCTGAAGTAGTGCGTGTCATTGAGAGCAATCTTGTTGAACGTAATGTCGGTAGTGTAGTTGACGACCTTGAAAGCGTTGATAAGACCGTTGCCGACTTGAGCTACTGATGCAGAGAAGCCATAATCGGTAGCTGTTCCGTCAGACCAGGGGAGTGAAGTTCCGCTGGCAATGATCTTTTGGTGGAGTAGTTTGGCGAAGTCCTTTCCTGAAGGACATTAGCATTCTGTCAAGACCCTCACACAACCATCACTTTGAGAAATGTACTCACCATGCACGGATCGTCCGCCGTGTGCGCTGATGTAGAGAGCCGCAACACCTGCGACGTACGGTGTGGCCATGGACGTTCCCGAAAGCAAAGCATAGGTATTGTCAAGGTATGTGCTGAAGATCTGTAAGTCTGTTAGTAGCTGTCAATGGCTCGAAAAAGAAACGTTTGTACTGACCTGGCCTCCGGGGGCTGCGATGTCGGGTTTGATGTCTAGGTCATTAGAGGCCCCCCAGGAAGTAAAAGTGTTGGGTCTTCCGCCCGCTGGATACTCCAATCCCACCACCTGTTCGGGGTTATGAGAGAAGTCCGCAGTTACATTGCCACCCGCCTTGACAGTATCAATGATAGCCTCGCCAGCAGCGGCGGTGATGAGGGCGATGAGACCAGCATCATAATCTGTTCCTGGAGTGATGATAGGATTCTCATTGTTGTAAAACAGAATGTACTCAGCACCAAGAGCAACAAGGTTCGCTTGTTTGATGGCGAAAGTGCAGGTACCTCGGCGAACCAAAGGTATGACACCCTCAAGTCTGCGTGTACCTTCCGGGTAGGGCTCACATCCGTCTGCAGGATCGGTGGTATCAAAGTTCAAGGGGACTATAGGCCAGTCGGTGATGTCGGTTGAGAAGTAGTAAGTTGACGGCAGGTAACCAGCCTAGAATGAGTCAGTCAATACCTAGGCAGTCGACCGGCAAAAATGTCATACCTTGACAGTTTTACTCTCCCCGTTCACGGTGGAAGTAAATTCAAATGGCGACGCAGGATACTGCTCGGTCTCGACTGAAGCAACAGCAAGAACTTTCTTACCCGAGGAGCCGGTACTTCCAAAGAAAGCTCCAGCAGCTCCAGAGTTACCGTTGGCAATGGTGACAACAACACCCTCATCAACTAAACGAGATGCAACTTCAGCCCACGCAGTGGTAGACCAACCACCCGGTCCACCGATGCTGGCAGTGATAATGTCAACCTGTTCCGCAGATCAGCGTCTCCCCGATAAGACGTCGCAATGAATGGAGCACTTACGCCATCAGTGTAGGCTCTGAGAAATGCTTCGATGAGAGTCGCTTCATCTGTTGAGTCCTGTTTGAAAGTTAAGTATGCGCTTGTGGGGATAATTCAGATTTCGCGTAACTTACCAATTGAGCGAAGACCTTGTATGAGTAAAGGGAGGCTGCAGGAGCCACTCCGCTCCAGCTTTGCAAATTTGAATGTTAGCAAAGCCGGTTAGCTCAAGGCCGTCAATTCGAACACGCTTACAAGTCGTTCTTGCCAGCAATGATCCCAGCAACATGTGTTCCTTTACGCTCGTTAGTTACTGGCAGGGTTCTTGAAGAAAATGTCGCCTACCATGTCCCAGTTGATCCTCTGGATCGTCATCCGGGGACTTGTCCTCGTATGGCCAGACTACGCATTACTGTCAATGCTTAGATACGCCTACCTAGTGATAGGATGGCTTACTGCCGTTGCCGACAAAGTCATACCCTCCAGCGACTTTGAAACCTTCACCAAAGCCACCCCCAAGCTATAGCTGTCAGTACAGACAACGCGACGTCGTCGCTCAAGGGAAGAAACTGCATACTGCCGGATGTTGATACCATGTTCCAGAGTCCACGACACCGACCTTCACGCCTTGGCCAAAGATGCCCTTGTCATGAAGCTTGCTGACACCGGTTGTGTTGTGGGTAGTGTAGTCTTCAGCAGCAGCTTCGTCGATGGCCTGGAGAGCTTCGACGGGAGATAACGCGACACGTGTGTTTTGCCAGACGCTAGCGACTCCGGCCAAACCTTGAAGGCTGTCAATGTTGTGGGTGTCGGTCTCAATGCTTGCGCCTGAGAAAATGTCACTCTCAAAGTTCTTCAAAACTTTGATATCGGCGGCTAGTGCAACATCGCGACGAGCCTTGGCGAATCCCTAGGCATCTAAATGAGCATGCAAGCTTTTTTTCGACACTCCCTGGATTACCAAAGAGGCTTACTGAAGTGTATTCAATGATGTAGCTTTTGGCAACAGGGACAGTGGCATTGTTGGCTTCGTTGGCAGTCTCTGGAGTCTGGTGAGTAGAGAACGATTGCGCACTCCCCAGGGTGGGAAGCCCAAGAAGACCTGCAATGCTGCTGAGCAGATGCATCTTGGAGACTAGCTAATCAAGAAGACGCGTTGCGCGAAGCCTTGCATCAACAGTCAGAGAGGACATGTCGGTAAAATAGCTTTAAATGTCAAAACTACCATCATGTTGATGGCGATATCACATCCCACAGAACATCGGTATTTGGGTTGTAACCTTCCATTGCAGCGTTGCATTGCCGATACGGACATGTTCGTGGGACTTCCTGGCGATATCGCCATCGTTGTTGGAATGAGCTTCCTTCTTGGGACGACAAGGGTGCCAGGGTGGTGCGGGAGTGGAGGATGGCTGAAGGCCGAGACCAAGACGATTTGCTACATGAGGTTTTGAGGCATATTGATCAACGGAAACGAGGTAGTTCTCGCCCGGACAGCCTCTCATACAATAGCCTAATAATCAGCAGTCGGTATAAAATGGTAATCGTGGATTATCCACCACCAGCTCGCCTTGCATTGCAATGAACACGGCAGCATTAGATGAACTGAAGATGCGATGGCAGGATTGAGGGGTAAACCGTTCAGTCCTTCTCGATGCTACCTAAGGGATGCTGCCAAGATAAACCCCTGAGCGATTAGATGATTTGAGGTAAGGTTGAAGGGCACTTGCATGTCCGAACCTCGTGTTCTGTCACCTGTGATAAGAGAAGATGCTTGACTCGGTAATGAGAGAATATCGACCTATTCGGCGTCTATTGCGCGAGATCACATCATAGCCGTTCCGAGGCGCAATTGAGATCACGAGTCGTTCAAATCCCCCTGCGTGGTTTTTATCTCATGTATTTCACCACCCGACTATTAGGAATCCAAACCCAATATAGTGGCAGCTACCAGTAGTCGGATGTTTGCGGGTCGCAAGCACCTGCATATTGTTCTGCCAGTCACCCCGTGTTCGGTATGTGCATGAGACTAGAGCTGTTCACGGCGTTTGGCCGATAAAGGAGGAACTGGGTGCTTCGGCTGAGTCCTTGTCCGGGAATAGGGGGACGGGGAGAATCCGGCTCCATGGCTTCCAGAGTTTCTTGGCGTCAAGATAACCATAGAATGACTGGCGATATTGAACAATGGTATAAAACTAGTCACTCAACTTCGCCAGCGCAATACACAGAGTCCCGGGATCCATTGCAAGCCCAGGGAGACGAACGACCCAGGCCCCACAGAATTGGTAAGGAAGCCGGGCTTGGGCCAGGGTGAATATAGGTAGGTGGGAGATCCGCGCTTATCCCGTGCATGGAGCAAATCTTATGTTCCCGGCCCGAATACTCTCAACTCAAAAACTTATACCTTTGGCGTCAGCTTTGTTGCACGCGCGCGGTGAAATCATCCAGAAACATTTTCAGTACCGCAAGACTAGCAACGCTGTCATCATGAAGCATAATCAAACAGCCGAGAAAGATGGGCTTGTGCACTTGCTGGGCATGATCTTTGAAGTTTGGCTCCGATTAATTGGATGGATTTGAATGTGCTGCATTGTACGTGAGACTATCATTTTGTTCAGTAGCAATCTTTATCCCAGTCGGCATTGTTGACTTTGAGTCACTCCCGGTGAGTAGCCGACTTTTCCTGATGTCCCATTTCCTCGTCGCTTTGAGCCAAGTGTCCAGTCCCCGCCCCGCGATTGTGGAGTACATCCTCAATCGTCTCATCCCCAGCGACCTCACGCATGTCCGAATCGTCTGCCACGTCGAAGCTTCGACGCAGATGCTCAGGTCCGATGAATGTCAAGAGGATGACATATGCAAAGACGCATCCCATGAAGATGCAAATGACCTTGCCATAGTCATAGCGCTTCGTCGTCCCCTTGGGTGCCAATGGAAACTGTTCGCCGAGGCGGGACTCGATAGTCGAGCTGGCTGAAGAGACTAGGTTACCAAGTTGATACGAGGTGCCGACGACGAAGGTGCGGAAAGCACCAGGACTGAGCTCCATCAAATGGATTGGGATGACACCCCAGGCACCCTGCACGCAAAACTGCTCAAAAAAGGCCGCGGCCATGACAGCCTCGGTCGTGACAAAAGTGTAAGGATAGAGCAGCGCGCCGCCGATGATGCAGCAGATGACGATGCTGAAGCGCCGGCCGAAAATCTGGCTGCAGTAGCCAACGGTAGTGCCGCCTAGCATGGCTCCAAGGTTAGCGACCACCTGGGTGACGGTCACTTCGTCCGCGTTGAAGTTGAACTGGTTCGTCAACATGGTGGGGTATAGGTCCTGGCTGCCGTGCGACATGAAATTGAAGCCGGCCATGAGGAGGACGAGGTACGTCAGCAGCAGCCAGTGCTTGCGGATCGCGACCCTACCCTCCTTCAAGAAGGTCGACGTTACGCTCCCGCCAGCAGCCGCTGCTTGCCGCCCAGCCGCTTCGCGAATGCGCTTGTGTTCGATGAAGGTATCGGTCTCGGGTAGCATCAGACGGAAGAGGATAAACAGCACTGGCGGGCCGGCTCCGAACCAGAAGAGGGGACGCCAGCCATGCGGGGTGGTGTTGACCAGTCCTCGGGCAAAGGCCGCGGCCAATAGGTATCCAAAGGCGTACTGATCGGCAGAAGGTTAGCTCTTGTAATGTGCCAACTGGCATGCTAAGGAGGGGTGGCTGCTGGGGGCTGGGGGTTCACTAAGCCCGTTCAGGACTTACACCTTGCTGTAATACACCGGACATCATGCCGCGAGTTTCGGCGGGGAGGTCTTCGAGAGCGGTGGAGGCTGCGTTTCCGTACAAACCGCCCATGGCGACGCCGAAGAGTGCGCGGCATGCCAGAAATTGTTCATAAGTCTGGCAGAAGCCGGTTCCCTGAAAGAGTCCACCGTTTGTCAGCTTTCTTTCTCAACAGTGAACAAAGACTATGCTGATGTCACTACTCTTATTGATGACACTAGCAGTGACTAACAAGCTACTAAGGGCTGGAGAAGGGGGTTGTGGGGTAAGGCAGGGATTCCCCGAAAGACACAGCCAAGACGGGAGAGAGGGGGAAGGAGAAAGCTTGTCTGCTGCAGCCAGGCCCGGAAAAAACGTGCCGGTCGAAACTAATCGAGGCAGAAAGGAGAACAAAATGAGTGATTTCTTACCAGTTCGAGGATGATGAAGAGGAGGTTATTCACGACGAAGGGCCATTTCCTGCCGTATCTGTCTGCTGCTATCCCAAAGATGATAGAGCCGACTGATCGGAACATCAGAACGAGTGTGATGCCCCAAGTGATATCGGTCTTGGACTTGTTGAAAGTTTCGGATAGCTCAGTGATGGTGAGTGAGACGGTAAAGAAATCGAAGGCGTCCCATGTCTGGACAGGATTGTCAGCGCATGTCAAGGTCAACAAGGGAGAGCCAGGCATCGGGGATAGTCAACGCACCCAAGCAGCAAATGCAACGGCAAAAAATGCCCACTGGCGCCTGTTGATCATCACAACGAGCTTCAACGGGTTCGGAGCGCTCAGCATGGGCGGCTTCAAGGTCGTAAAGCGCGTCCCAAGGTAGCGACCGACGGACATGCCGTGCCACGGCTCTTGGTCTCCATGGTGCTCAACATAGGGACTGCGCTCGGGATCGACGTGTGTTTTGTCGTGAGAGCTGTCCATGACGGGCAATCGTAAAGTCTTGGTTCCAGTCAAAAGAGTTGCAGGTTGGCACGACTGTCGAATCTGGTGTCCACCTGGCAGGGAGGCAGTCTTATATCAATCCCAAAACCCTGTCGATCAAATGGTGCGCTCCCCGCGAGCACTTAATCACGAGCGGGGTGTTACATGAGTCAAAACACGAATAACGGTGTAGGCCCGATGAGAGAGGAGGTCTACCCAAAATCTGCCGGCATCCATACCGGGGAAGGCTGGGACTCTGCTAATTCCGTGGAGATAGCACGGACTCGTAAGTGTGGCACACATACAATCAGTCAGCCGCTGAGACGTACTCAACCAACTTGGAGACCCTCACTAAGAGCGTTTTGCTGCCCTGGAAGCTGCAGAACATCTGACAAACTTAGTCGTAGCTTCAGAAGGCGCCGAAGTGCCGCCGCTTGTTTCCTTTCTACATTCCTCTCCTGTCAGTTTCCCCAACCGAGCGTCGCCACCAATGATCGAGACCAAATGAGATGAACACCGGCCCAACCGACAACTGGTGAAAACACTAAGTGCGGTGTTCGCTGCATTGCTACTGTGACATCACATTGGATTGCCAAGACGGCAATGGCAAGCGGGCTGGACGTCCATGTGGTTGTCAACCCCACCCCCCTCTCCGCATCGCCTATCAGCCACTGAGGCGAACAATTTTCCTCTATAATGAACGGCACTAGGCCCGCCCCCATGGGCAAACCCCAAGCACCATTGGGCGGGAGAACTGCTTATCTGAGTTTCGCCCCGGCTCAACCGACCACTAGTCCAGGGACCGAGGGGCTCACTAACAGCTCCCACAATGACGGCGACATTGAGCAATTCACACTGGGCCTCAAGCACCGTCGTGATTAGTTACGGTTTGTGCTAGTCTTCTTTGAATGCCTGCAAGCTTTCATCATGAAGCAGTTGGTAACACTAGACTTCGTAAGGTATCGCTTCACGAGTAGGAGACCCTCTCCGAAGAAGGATTTGGCGATGGTCCACGCTACCGGCACCGGAATCGGCCTGACAGCCGGGGTGATTTGGGTCCAACAGTCGGAGGGCGGGCAAGTTTTTCTCGGAGGTCCTCCTGTCACTGCACATGTGGCTATCGGAAACAGGAAAGACCCTAAGCCAATTGAAAACCCGCCAAACCCCCGGTTTCTTCGCTGAAGGTCACTTCATCCGGGCTTGGGTGAGAGCATGGGAAGTAGTGGATTTGCCTCCTAACAAATGCATGTTTTGGGGCCAAGGTCTATCGACGGCACAACGAGTTCGAAACACGACTCAAACTTGGTTCAACATTTCTTTAAGTGTTCGTCATCAATTCCTTGATTCATACATATTTCTCCGACAACAAAGACTCTGCGGAGTGTCTTTGTTTAGTCTGAAGATCATCCTTGTTATCTGCCATTGGGTATCACATTCACGGAATCTCCCTTCTCGGTATACAAGTAGCCCACACGCGATTATAGAGCTTTCAAGAATAAGTTATCGCTTATTTCCAGAGGAACACTTGACTCGCATTTTGTTGCATGGCATTGTCCCCAAGGACCTGTCCATTGGTAAATTGCAGCTTCAGCTATGCTGAAGCCAGCTTTATACCAGTCTCTTGCTCTAGCAGCTTCAACAATTGCTCTTGTCTCTTCTCATCCTTTGTAAATGGCGCCGGGTTGTCTTCCTTGCCCGGAGGCTTGAAGTACTTCCCAGTAACATCCCCCGCACCCGTTCCCTCCGCCAACAAGACGTAGCTGGCGACTCCATCCTCAGCCTTTTCCGGTGCACTCTGTCCGCCCATCTTAGTAGGTACCCAGCCGGGATCGACCGAATTGCTCTTAATATCCGGCCAATGGCGAGCAATCGCATTTGCCAAGGTTGTGACGTGCAACTTGGAGTCGCAATACGCCTGGTTCTCGTTCCACTCCTGCTCTCCGCGCTCGCGCCAAGTCGGATCGGTAAAGCTAGAGTCACCGCTCTTGTGCAAACCGGAAGAGATGTAAACGAGTCGTTTAGGTTTATTGATCAAGGCAGTCAGAATGTACGGCGCAAAGACGTTGACTGCGGTCAAGCTTGAGAGACCCAGATCGGTCTTGCGATAAGGACCGCGGTAGAGGCCGGCATTATGGATAATAACGTCGAAGGTTCCTAGCTTGTTGGCGTCGTGGGCCAGCTTCTTCATCTCCTCGATCTTGGAGAGGTCGCCGATCAGGACAGTCTCGGCACCTGGCACCGCTGATTTCGCATCTTCGGCGCGCTGAGCGTTGCGAGCGTGAATGACAACCTGGTGGCCGTTGCTGACCAATGTGCGGGCAGCAACTGCGCCAAGTCCATCGGAAGATCCTGTGATGAAAATTCGTGCCATTGTGTCGATATATTTTTGGTTTGTTTACTTATTTTTGGCAAGGGAATATAGAAGGACGACGTTCTTTATATGACGATTTCGCAGTGTCCTGATTAATAATGCAACAAGCGGAGTCAACATCAGCTCCGCGAACGGCGCGCAGGGTTCACAGTGTCACTTGGGGGAGGGGATATTAACTCGATTACGTCATCACATCACACCCTTTTCTTCTTTCCTAAAGGAGCCATCGCTGAGAGATGAACATTTATTTTTCGTGATAGATCATGTGGGTAATTATGTCGTTGTTGTACATGAAGATAAGAGGCCGCAAATACGGTTTTGTACCCTCAGGCAACCGTGGAAGTTCATTTTTCATCAGAGAAGACATGATCGAGGGAGTTGCTGATAGACCTAAAATATCCACAAGCCCGTCAAGGATTTGGGGTTAGAGTCGGGAACAAGCAAACCTTCACTGGAGATTGCGGTTTCAACTACATACAGGAAGTCTCCATTATAAGGATTGTGCTTTGTGACATTTGTAAGGATAGTTCCGATATTGAAGTCCCAGGAAAGCATTATCGCTGAGCTCTCACTATAGCGCGAACAACATATGATGAAGGGTCACTCGGTCCAGCGTTTGACAGATGTCAACGATCACGGAGTTGTGGAGCATGGTTTACGGGCTGGCTATACTATTCTCGCCTCATTCGGAGTTCGTTAGGCGTACGATTCTCAGTGGTACGCTTTTCAAACCCGGCATCATAGAATGGATTATAAAACTTCTCTAACCTTTTTATTTTGTTTTCTCTATATGTTCTAGTCCCCATTACAGGCTACATATTTGTGGCGCAAGCGTCAAGATGTATATGATGAACGCAGTCAATGGCTTTGCCATGGGTACGCTCCGTGCTGGTGGGTGTGAGAATTCGGCTGTCAGCATGACCTTTAGTGAGCATGAGCGTGAAACTGGGAATAGGGAAGTCGAGAGATGTTGGGCCAAGAACGATAGATTGTGAAACCGAGGGATGTGCTTCTCAAGTATTTAGTGCCTTTTCCTAGCCCAAATTGATGAATCCACGGCAAAGCTTTGCATGTAATGGGCTTTAGTAACACGATACGTATCCATGTGGTCAATTATTATGAGGTGCACTAAGCCTCAAGATCCCTACCAACTATCTGTCCATCTTCTCAGTAAACGTATACAAACTCGTCGTTCTGACTGTCTGTCATGTCCAAGAAGGCATTTTCTCCTAACTGAGCACCGGACTCATCATTTTGCGCACTGGTGTAGTGGCGCTCCATGCTCAAATCCTTGATTTTTCTCGGTTTGCCGTTGGCAGCTCGCTTGCGTTCCTGCACCTTGTTGGAGATGAAGAGGTTGATCACCTGCAGACCAATGACAGCAAGCAGTGCACAGGTAATACCCATCACCTTAGTGAGGCCAGGTTTGTACTGCGGAGCATCCTTCGCATTGAAGAGCAGAGGACCAATGATGTTACCGGCAGAAGACCCCGCATTGTACAACGACATGATTACAGACTTCTTGGTGGTGCCAGCAATATTGGAGATCATCCAAGACACGATGAGGGGGTTACCGCCGAATAGAAACCCGAGCATGTAGTACGCTGCCAGTAGTGGAGGGACGTCGTTCCGATCCAGAACGTACAGCATGACGGCACCCGTCAGTACAGGAGCGAGAATCGCTGCCAAGAAAGCCGACTTGACGCGGAACCGATGAGCCAAGTATGACGCTGGGAAAATTACGATGAGTTGAACAAAACCGAAGGGAATGTTGAGCAACGAGCTTTTCTCGCTATCGAACCCAAACCCAGAGATGACGATGGGGCCGAAGGTGTTTGTCACAGCGGCAGTGACGTTGAGACACACAGCCATGCCAATGAAGAGCCAACTCTTGGGCTCGTACAACGCTTCCCACACCTGGTTCCATTTAAATTCACGGCTACCAGTACCTGTCTGATTGGCTCGAAGTCGCTCGATGGCTTGTAACTTTTCGTGCTCGGTAAGAAATCGTGCAGATGGGATATCATTGTCGAGAAAGATGTATACTACGGGCGCCGAGAGAACCGTAATCAGGCCGACAAAGATAAATAGAATCTGCCACGAATGAATAGAACCATTGATCTGGCCCAAACCATAAGACACGGCGGCGGCGAACATTGTTGCAAGGCCGTTGGTGCCGTACCAGCAAGCGACGCGCATCGGTTGCTCGGCTCGGCGATACCACTGCGACGTAATGACAGAGAAAAGAGGAAGGCAGCCGGCTTCGAACAACCCCAGTAGAAAGCGGGTCGCCAGCAAGCCAGAGTAGTTATGACAGGCGGCCATGCAGACTTGAGCAATGCCCCAGCCTAATACCAGACAGGGCATCAAGATGCGATGTGGCACCTTGACGATAAGCCACGAGGAGAAGGGCTGCCATGCGAGCTGGGCGATGGCAGAAATGGAGCTGACCATTGAGTATTGGTCGCCCGTCAAGTTGCAGTCTTGTCGCAGCCCGGAGATGGCACCATACCCGAGCACCGACTTATCAAGGATCTGGAGGAAGTAGACCCAGATGAGGATGGAAAGGATTCGCTTATCAGTTTTCCGGCGGATGCGTTTGTTCTGTGATTAAAAGTGTTAGCTGAGTTCTTCAACTGCATAGTACGGCATCCAGGTAAGAGGACTTACATCTTCTTCTGTGAGCTCAATCTGCTGGTCACCAATGAGATTCGCCGCCCGGTCAGCGCCTTTGGCGTAGTTCTGACCCTGATGCATCAGCTGCTCAACATCTTCGATGCGGTGTTCGTGTTGATACGACACGCCATCTCCGGTCTTAGATACAGTATCCATGGGTACGATCGCAGTTCGCATGAGGAAACGGGGACATGAGAGAAGAGAGACAGCCTGCGTCTCCTTGTACGTCAACCAATGCTGTGAATAGTGATCTCAGCTGTACTTATAGCTGCACCGTTGCATTCATTCGCATCGCGGACCAACTGACCGCTCAGATATCCGAGAAAAGCAAGCTCAGGGCAAGTTCGTCATCAGGAGGTTCCCACTGGACGATTTGCATCAACCCCATACCAAACCGTCCAATAATTGCTCCAGATAATAGCTGGGAGATGTGGATATTCCCCATGGGGTCTGCCCCTTACCCTTGTCTATCACTACGCGCTAAGCAAGTTGGCAGGTTTGGTGAATGGGGAAAAGACGAGGATCAAGCACGATTTCCCCTCATACGACACTGGGTTGTGGGGACGGGACTTGGTTCAAGGGAAGAAGTCCGCGTGCGGTGAGCGAGCCACATGACTAGCCGTGCACAAGTATACCCTTGACTTGGGCAGACTTGGTGTGTCTTGGATTCGAGACTGCACTGTGAAGACAAAAGTTTGTCACCCCCACGCAGAGGCTGAGGGGTTAGCTTTGCATCACAGAAGGATCACATCGCGTCGAATGATCCGAAGTCAGGGACCTTCTCAGCTTATTGCGCCATCATTAATGAGACTATCTACTGCCCAGATTCTCTCATTAGCCGGAGGTTGGTACCGGTCAGAATGACGTAAATAGTGTCCAATGTTGGTGTTGCAATACCCAGCTCTTTGCCCTTACGGTATGGATAACCAAGGATAATGTCGACTTCCATTGGCCGTCCGGCCTTGAAGTCGTTTTGCATGCTGCTGCCAATGGGGTGCATGGCCAAGATCTTGCTGATGAGCTTATCAACCAAGTCATACTCAATAGGTACGTTGCACCCTTTGGCAACGTCGATGACTTCTCTCATAAGGCGCTGAGTCAAGGGCGTAGCTTCTGGTGATGAGCTCAACCAGGAGTGGGTGTCGAGGAGCGTCAACGTTGTGAGCGAGTTCCAAGCGGCGTTCCAGACCACCTTTTCCCAACGCTGAATCTGGATGTTGGGGACCAATTGGAAGACGGTCTTGCCCTCCGTCAGTAAGGAAGCAAACTCATTCAGTCGCCGTTTCTCCACTGCTTGGTCAGCGTTGTTCGCGTATAACCCTATCTGCATGTCCTCGGATTTGGTATGCTTGACATGTCCCGGCTGCGGCTGCGCGGCTCCGGTCCAGGTCTGGTCCAGTCAGTACTCGCAAAAACAGATTCCTGGAACCGAGGTCACTCACCACACATGAGATGATTGTTGTGTGGGGGAACGCTTTACGGAACGGCTCCTCATTACCGACGCCGTTCTGGATGATGACGATCGTTGACTTATCTTCATTTACAGCTGGGGCAATCTGCGCCGGCACAGCATCTTGCGTAATGGCCTTGTGGGCGCAGACAATATAGTCAAACTTTGCATCTGCCTCGACAGCATTTTTTACGACTTCAGGAAGTCAGTAATGGGTATTAGACCCTCGATCCCACAAAATGCACGAACTTGGGACTCCAGATGCTTAATTGATGCTTACCTTTGTATGGGCGGACAGTGTGCTCTCCGTGGTTTTCGCTGGAGATAATGATTCCATTCTTCTTCACTGCGTCGTAGTTTGACCTAGCGACGACCGTTAATCTGACATTGGGCACTTTGATTAGAATGAAAGCATAAAATGACCCGATGCTAGCAATCTCACGTCAGTATTGCAGTTCATTTCAGCTTGTCTGGAAAGTGTAACGCACGCGCCAAGTCCGTACAACAGAACATCGATCTGTTTGTCGGTCGTCATTCTTAGAGTGATGTGGGTTGGTTGGTCCTTGTCGGTCAGTCCTGATAGTCGATAATGGGATAGCTTGGTCTCGGATTTACTTTGCATGCAATCCTGGCCTGGTTATTCACCAGACCCAATATTTGTACACTCTTCCGTTCCGCAGCTTTCAAGACAATAGAAGCGCAGAGAGAAGACTGACGGGGTTCCCCTCTTCTGATGTTGTGCCTCGAGCCCCGATGTTCGGTTGCGGTGGGGTGGCCACCTGACTACCCCAGAAATCGATTGTACTTTTTCTGGTTTTGGACGTCTCGTGGGGGAGCGAGGTGGACGTGCATTGGGGGCTTCTTGGGGGTCACATCCGGGTTCGGTCAGGGGTTCGGGGTTATGTCCGACGTGGCGCTCCATGTTCCCCCTCATTCCTCGGCCAACTTCCTGGTCCGACGCGGGGAAGCCGGCACTGAACTTTCTTTTCCCCCTTCCATTGGAGGCCTCAATAGGGCAAATTTCATTCGGCCTGTGCCTTGGATCCGCGGTATACTTTGGTCGGTTGGGTCTCTGAGGATTACCATCATGTACGAGATCGGCAAATCAGCAACTTTGCATCTGCCCTCCATGGAAGCATTCACCACGTCAATGCCGGGCGCCTGTGACGAAGAAATGCGAGATGCGCTTTAGTGCGAGATAGATGGCCCATTCAGTGGGCAAATTTCCAACACCAGCATTGGCTTACGCTTGTATTTACTTGGGTTCACACCCCCTGGTTGCGTTCTGTTCAACCGCAAACCGGATGTCTTATTTCCGAAGTTGTGAGGAAGACCGCTTTCTCTCCAACTTCTCACCCCAATCCTTCGCGCAGTTCGCAATCTGTAACGCCGTCTCGCGAATCCTGTGTGCCTGTGTGACGAGCTTCTTCCTCTCTGCTGGTGTTTTGGACTTCTTCACCGATCTCGGTTCTTCTTCCTTCACGGTATGCCCCCACTCGTCCGCTGACCTGGCTACCAAGCACGCCGCGTCCTCAATTCTCTTCCCAGGGGTCTCTGATCCATCTTCCAAGAAGCACTCTTGCGGCTGTGTTGCTATGACACCAGCGATAAGGTTCCAGACAGCGATGAGGTCCTCCTTTGGGATCGACTGGGATATCGTAGCTGAGATGAACCTCCGTTCGGCGGAATAGCTCCGCATCGGCCTCGCTATGGACCCTGAACGTGGAGATGCTCGTGCTATGAGGCAATTGCTGCATGCTCCATTGTACATACCGGGGATCTTAACGCATTCCGCTGCAAGCCCGTGGCCTTTTCGGCACTTGGAGCATTTCTGATCGAGACTCTGTGCCTCTCCTCGTTCATGGACCATGATAGCCTCCAGCACAGGCGCCTGTGAGATGTCTGGTGATGGCAAATCGCTTTGGTTTCTCCAACTCCTCCGTATAGGCAGTGAGCCCAAAGCCGTCATGGCTTCTGTCGTAGGTCCCGTGGGAATTGGTGATGGCGGTCCTGGCAGAGCACTCTGCATCACACATTGTCCAAAATCAGGGATTTCTGCCTCTATGATGTTTTTGTGTCGTCCTCGCGGCTCGTATGGCCTTTGAAGTTCCTCTGCCCTGCTGTTCAAGACATTTCTTCGGTCACCTGGCGTAGTTTTGCGACTAACGTGCTGTGAGGGCTGTTGCTGTTTCGAAAGTCGAGTCGCTGCTCCCACGGTCACGCCAGACCCTGACCGTAACCGTGATGTAAGCGTGGATGAAGGCATCGTTGCCTGTTCTTTCAATTTTATCTCCCCAGCCTTCGCTAGCAGCCGAAGTGTGATGTCCGCGATATCTGTTTCATCGCCCATTATTCCAGGACTGAAGCGGGCACATCGGATGCTCTGAGTTTTGCAATCCGAAAGGTCGCCAAGGATGAATGAAAGAATGAGTACCTGCGGAAAAAGACAAGAACGACACCTCATGATACACACCTAGTGGACCACGGCCTCTCAACGTACAAAAAGCCATTTATATTCTTTGGTGAAGCAGACAAGTTCTCATCTCCATTTACGTAATTCCATTGGTCATTCGCCCTTCTGCGAGTAAGCTAGCCCGTGGTGATTGGCTGCCAGCACTTGCTGCAACAGTCATAATTTGAGACGCTTCTGGACTCTCAAAGACTTGCTGTGGCACTTTTGCTCTTGAGGAGTCCAGGTCTCCCCTACCTCAACTGCACCCTGCACACGATCTTGGAAAGAGGCGGGCTTATTTGAGAATAGTGGCCTGGCTCGTCATTATGCGTGGTAGGGCGTTCGTCCAATCCGGCGACCGACCGCTAGCGGTGACATATTCCCCGATTGGACCCCGCCATGATACTGAATCGGGCTCTTATTTCCGCTTGGGAGGTGCGCCCAAAAAGCCGGGAATGACAGCACTCCCCCGCGGAAAGCTGCCTCCAATGTCTCACCTAGTCGCGTGCAAACTGAAAAGCTGGGGGACTCGGCGGCGCTGCGGTCATCGTCAGTGGTGATGGCTTGGTTGCCGAACATAGCCGGACGCCGCCGATCCTTTGCTGAGATAATTCTAGGCGAGAATCTACCATACTGTGAATGGGCTAGTTTAAGTTAGAAAAAACAATGCGATCGTTTCTTTTTGCGTCTCCGTACCTCGCATGATCGAGAAGCGAGAAAGAGCACTCCTCAAGGCGATGCAAATCGTGAGCTCGGCGTCACACAACAGCTTCCTCAACCAGCGACAAATTCAGCGAGTCGCGTGTCAAAGGGAAACCCACGCCGGTTTCCACCCCGGATGTCACCGCCTCGACTGATCAACGTCCTGATTCCAGACCGGAACAGTCTAGCTACATGATCTGTTGGGCCAAGTCTGTGGAGAAGATACAGTGGAGTTTCATGGGGTATTTGAGGGACCCTCTCTTGGCCAGAGGGCGGAAACCCGTAATTATTTGCCATCAAAACCCCCGCGGGATGGTCTCCGAGCCTTTCTATTCTTCCGATATGTGGGGGGTCTTAAGTAGAATTGAAATACCTCGGGTCGCGAATAGTCTACCCTCAGAATGGATGCCAGTGTGGGGGTTGTAATACATGGTCACATGGATCTCTCCTACGACTTCGGGTTTTTGTTATGCGCAAGACTTACACCGACTGACTTGGGGGAGGGGGCGAAAGTTGATCCCATGATTATCCATGCACCTTTAGTCTGACTCCTTGCATCCCGAGACCATGTTCTTCCTACAAAAGGTTTGCTCATAGAAAATCCAAACCACCATTATCATCCTCTTTCTCTTGCTATCCTAAGCCAACTCCTTTCTCGTGCTGCTAAACGGCATTGTCATCTCGTCATGTCTCCTTCAGCAATCGGTAACTCCCACTGCCACAACGGCAATGGCATCGACCATGCCCCAAGGCCGGCCCTGGCCCCGGGGCTCTATGTTCCGACGGTAGCTTTCTTCCGTTCCGACGACTCAGTGGACATTGAGACAACCACCTCCCACGCCATCCGTCTAGCGAAGGCTGGCGTTGCCGGTCTTGTTACTCATGGCTCTAACGGTGAAGCCGTGCACCTTGACCACGCCGAAAGACAACTCATCAACCAAACCACACGAGCAGCACTCGACTTGGTCGGAAAGAGCGACCTCCCTCTACTAGTTGGCTGCGGAGCACAGTCAACAAGAGAAACCATTCAATTCTGCCAAGAAGCTGGCGCGTCAGGCGGCAACTACGCTCTAGTTCTTCCACCGGCATACTATGGAGGCCTTCTGACTACCGAGCACATCCTGCAACACTTCCGGGAGGTCGCAGATGCCAGCCCTATCCCTATCCTCATCTACAACTTCCCAGGCGCATGCAGTGGTCTGGATCTCAACTCAGATACCATCATTGCACTCTCAGAACATGAGAACATTGTTGGTGTGAAGCTGACCTGCGGTAATACTGGCAAGCTGGCGCGGATAGCTGCTGCTACAGTCCCGAAGAAGGGCGACACTGGCCCCCTGTTTCGTACCTTTGGCGGCAGCGTTGACTTCACTCTGCAGACGCTGGTCGTCGGGGGTCATGGTATCATCGGTGGAACTGGGAATATTGCGCCTCTTGCTTGTGTAAGGCTCATGGAGCTGTGGGACATAGGAAAACTGGAGGAGGCGCGGGAGCTTCAGGCTGTTGTAGCGCGTGGTGATTGGACGGCGATCCAAGGTGGATTTGTCTCAGTCAAGGCGGCGCTTCAAGAGTACTACAACTATGGGGGTCTTCCGAGAAGGCCTTGCGCCTTATTGGAAGGCGAGAAGCTCACCAAACAACTCGAAGGGTTTTCTGAACTGGTTGCAGTTGAGACGGCGTTACAGAAATAGGTTGAGCATGCGGGACATGGGAGAGTTATTACAAATCGATTTCATAGCGAACCTGTATTAATCTGACTTAAAAGTTCTTCTTGGAGAAACCTAATCTAACCTACCTAGGTAGTCCGTGTCCAACTTATGAAACGCCAGTCTTGGAGCATCGATTGATGTTATCGCTGCATGATGACTAGTTGGTCTTAGATGCTCATTGTCTAAAACATGTTTCCATCTGTCAGTCTTAAGGTTTCTACAGGATCTAGCGAAAATATTCTGTCCTAGCCAGTAAGGCCCCGTTTGTCAATTGTGTAAGTCGTTGACCGGCAACTTCTATGCAGCTTGTAAATAGCCGGTTAAGTAGGATGCTTCAGCCCGAGGTACCTGAGCTCAAATCTGTAGCCTCAGCACTTCGCTGTGAGTGTCTAGATCCCATTCATTTATCAAAACTGAATTTGGCTTTTCCGTCCATTATAGAATAATCGAAAGGTTTTGGCATGCATCATATCCTAGTGATTGCAAAGTATACTTCAGACAAGACCTCTAACTCTCAGTATTAATTTTCTGTCCTTGCCAATGCTTTGTCGTAATCCACACAACAAGCACAATAGGTCAAGTTTACTATGTCATTCAAATCTCGTGGCAAACGCCGTCTCACGTATTCCGAACCTAATCCGTCCCAGTTCCCACAATCTTGCCAACAACTCCAGACACTAGCTGAATAGGAAAACGAGTGACCCCCACGTACGCTGCTACTCTAGTTGAGGGCCTAGTTCGGCGTCCAAGCGGCTCTGTGGGTCCGGGCTTGTGGAGTTGACCCCCAACCACCCTCGTATTGTTTGCGGAAAGCGGTTCAGATGCAAGGATGCAAATCCGCGAGGCTACTTGGTCGGAAGTGGTCTGATGAGATGCTGACGGGAACTTTGATATCTCCCATGTCAGCAATCCGCGCAAGTTCCCCATGAGAATGTGACAACGACTCGCGTGAGCATAGTTGGCACGTAAGCAAAGCCGATTTTTGCCTTCTAGACCCGTTGTGCGTGACAACACATGAATCACCTGGGTTCCACTTCATGCAGAAATCCGTCTCCAGCCGATGTTCGGATCCAGTTGAGGGGAACAATGCGGTACAACTGAGTACTGCCGTGGGGGGTCCTGCTACATGCCACAAGATGGGGTAATTTACATTTTGGCCCAAGAGAGTCATCAAATGAAGAAGGGTATGAGGTTAAAGTGAAAACCAAAGGAGTACGGCAATAATTAAATTCTCCAATACGGTGACACGCAACAAAAGAAATGGCCAGCATACTGGAAAAACTGTTTTCTTTGCAGGGCCGTGCGGCTGTGGTAACTGGAGGAACGAGGGGCATTGGCCAGGCCATGGCAGTATCACTCGCTGAAGCAGGTTCAGATATCATTCTCATCCAAGTAAGGATACACAATCCGTGGCATGGTGCATTACTGACATTTCATGCAGAGAGACGAGAGCAACAAAGAGACGAAGAAGCAAGTTGAAGAGCTCGGCAGAAGAGCGACCATCTACACGGCAGACTTGTCAAACCAAGAGGAAGTAGAATGCCTGACAAAAAGAATCCTCTCCGATGGTCACGATGTCAGCATACTAGTCACCTGCGCCGGTATTCAACGCAGACACCCTGCACACAAGTTCCCCATGGATGACTGGGACGAGGTCTTGCAAGTCAACCTCAAGACAGTTTGGACCCTTTGCCGAGACTTCGGTGCTTACATGCTCACGCAAAGCCCGAATCCAGTCAACAACCATCGTGGTAACGTCATCAACGTGGCATCGCTCGTAAGCTTCCAAGGAGGCATCACAGTTCCCGCGTACGCAGCAGCCAAGGGAGGTATTGCGCAGTTGACTAAGGCGTTGAGTAACGAATGGGCGAGTCAGGGCGTCAATGTGAACGCTATTGCGCCTGGCTACGTGGCGACGGATATGAATGAGGCGTTGATCAACAACCCCGAGCGGGCAGCTAGCATTCTCGCTAGGATTCCTGCAGGCAGATGGGGTACCCCGGATGATTTTAAGGGCGCCACAGTTTTCCTTGCGGGGGCAGGGAGTTTGTACGTCTCGGGTGAATTGCTAACTGTTGATGGAGGTTGGATGGGCCGCTAAAGTTTCTTGGTGTATGTAGTCAAACAGAGATATTGGTAGCAATGGGACTTTGGCCCGGCTTTGTCCAGGTTATCAAGGCGGAACACGTCATTCAAGAGCCTATCAATGCATCTCATCTTCTGCTGAAGACTGATTCCTGCCCGGTTACAGGCTCCTAACATACACTGGCCGGGAGTTATCTAACTGTAGTCAACATTTTAGGTGAAGGCCAGCGTCGGGGTTTTGGGCATCTTTAGATGCTGTGCTTCACCGTGAGGTCTCTGAACTATAATGATCTATAGGGATAAGGGATATCAGCCTTTTCATGCTCGAGAAGATTAAGGCTTCACGTTACCTAAAGGTTGCCGTTTGATATAACATCAGAAATCAAGCTTCCCACAACAGCCTCTGGTTTCTGTTTTGAGACAATTGATACACAGGTTGAATGGTGAGGACTGTTCTACAACCTTTGTGGCAATAATACCAACAGACAATGTGCACAAACAAGCATGCATAGGTATCCTTTGGGTACCAGTTTATATGTGTGTGGGCGAAGAGACTGAGCAAACCCTTGTAGATGAAGTTGAGCGCTACAATGGCACGATGAGTTCAGAACCCAAGGCCCCAGAAAAACAGAGGCGGCAGACCATGGTTACGATGTGTTTTCTCACTCGTCCACAAGGAACATTACATACATTTTCAGTTAGCGTTTTCATTGCGTTTTGGACGCATGAGTCACGCAAAGGCTGTAGGATTATGAATGCTTGGTCTTCGATCCAATCACCACTCCCGAATGCTACCATCAGGACCATGAAAGATCTTGCACTGCCACGGCTCCGTCTCCTTTGATATCTTCATCACCATCTCTTCATCAATGTCAATGCCCAATCCATAGCCTGTCGGTGCTTTGACATAACCTCCTTCAATGTCAAATACCTTAGGGTTCTTTAGGTACGTCAAGAGATCGATATCTCCAGCCTCGGTATTGTAATGCATGCCCAGGCTCATCTCGAGGATGGAAAAGTTAGGACATGACAGAGCAACTTGCACACTGGCCGCGAACGCAACAGGGCCAAGGGGGCAATGCGGCGCAATAGCTACGTCGTAGGCTTCCGCCATCGTGGCAATACGCTTGGTTTCAGAAATACCGCCGGCATGGGCAATGTCGGGTTGGAGAATGTCGACACTAGCGTCTTCAAGGAAGCGCTTGATATCCCACCTTGTATACAAGCGCTCACCAAAGGCAATGGGAATTGTGGTCTGGTTCGCGAGCTGCTTGATGGCTTCGGGGTGTTCGCATAGCAAGGGCTCCTCGATGAAGAGGGGCTCATAGGGCTCAAGAGCTCTGGCCAGTTGTTTCGCCATGGCTTTGTGCAAGCGGCCATGGAAGTCGAGACCGGCGTCAAGGCCGAGGGCTTTGACCTGCTTCAGGCGCTCAACCGTAGCTTTGAGTACCTTCGGCGAGTCGACCCAGTTCATGTCCTCGGTTGCATTCATTTTGACGCAAGTCAACCCCTGCTCGATTCGCTTCTTCCTATAACGGAGATCAACATAAGTTCATCACTATGCTTTGTTCAAGACTTACGCTGCTGCTTCGACATCCGATGGTCTGTCGCCGCCAATCCAACAGTATACCTGCACCTTATTGCGTACCTGACCACCCAAAAGTTCGTATATGGGAACCTTCAACGTCCTTCCTAGAATTTAAGCCATTAGCAAACAACTCAGAGACCCTGTATTCAAGAGCGGGGTTTCCTACCTTTTAGATCCCAAAGCGCGATGTCAATACCAGACATTGCTGACATGAAGACAGGGCCTCCTCGGTAGAAGCCATGTCTCCAGAATGTTTGCCAGATGTGTTCGATGTTGCTATGAAGGGGTTAGCACATGTATCGGTTGGGTTTGGCTCTTTATCATTCCCATGTTAGGTAAATTATGATCGTGACTCACTTCGCTTCCAGGCCAGCTATTCTAGGGATCATTTCTTGAAGACATCCCTCCACAGCAAGGTCATGGCCTTCGAGTGTGGCCTCGCCCCAGCCGTATTCGCCATTCTCGTCAGTGATTTTGACCATAAGCCAGCGAGGCTTCACCCGGTAGTACCGCACTGTCACGATTTTGGCCATGGTGTGCTAAGTTGGTAAATAGCAGCAATCTCAAGGGTTTTTACATCAATATCGGTTGTGTTAATTTTTTAATGAGAAGTGACGCAGCACATGCAAACCTTGGGATCGTACCTTCCGTTCTTAACGCTGTTCTTAACGAAGCACTCCATAGTGTGATCCTTCACCATGAAGCAGCACATGTGCAACGTGATCCACCTCCGTCTTTGGGTTCAGATAGGACGTAGTTCATCCTTAATTGACCTCCGCAATCCCCGCCCCCACCTTGACCCCCACGACCGGCACTGCAAAAGGTAACAGTACAAAGTAAACAATGGAGACTTTTCTGCACTAGTCCCCACTTGTTTGATCAGGGTCTAGCGAGCTCGGGTTTGTTCCCGGCTCTCGTCGACACATACGCTGCGTACTCTCGCCCAAAACCAACTGCTTCGCGAGCTCGCCCCTCACCACTAAGCGGCTTCCGTGGGGTTCGTGTTTTTGTTGAGTGGATTCTCTTACGGCCTCGTTTCTGGGCATTGGCTCATGTCAAATGCCTGCGTGGGTTGCAAGTTGCCAGCATGTTTGGCCACCGTGGCTGCAAAACCCGGAAGGGGCGGAAGGTGATGGCATCGTGACGATCCCATACACAACTAGCTCGTTGTAACTTCATCTATTAGTCACAGAACTAAATTGTTGGTTTCCAGCCCTTGTTGCAAACTTGAGATCAATATCGAGGTTTTGCTTAAATTGGTTAAATCGGTGGCATCAAATACGGAGCCTTCCTGTTATGACCCAACAAGCATAACATAACCAGGGTCGCCCCATAGGCGCCTAGCGGTTACAAGACAAGGTTATATGCGGGATAGCACAGGAACACGTCAATCCCCTCTTGGAACAGAAGAACTAAAGAAGGTTACATAAAAATAAGAAGGACTAATAACCAATAAGCAGTCCACAACCCAGGATTAACATACCAAGGATCAGTCCTTATCAAAGACCAACTTCAAGAGATCAGTCCTAACAAGGCAATAATAGGATATAAGGATAATTATTCTAACTAAACTAAATACCTTCTATAGCTCTTTAGTAATTAACTTTATAATTCACTTTTTTATAAGTAACTCTTAGATTATCTTTTTATTATAAAGCTATAAAGCTATTTACGCCTAAATATACTTAACTAATCACTAAACACTAATAGACTAATAAGATTACTAATAAGACTTACTTTACTATTACTAAGTATTAACTTTAGCTACCTATTAACAAAAAATACTACTATTAAATATTTAACTATAACACTTTAATTACTCTTATTTAGTAAATTAACCTTAATATTTATTAAATAGTAATAATATCCTTTAAAGCTACCTTAACTTTATTTTTTAATAAATCTAAAAAAAAAGTAATTATACTTTTTAAATTTATAAGTTTAAATTAAGAAATAAAGGGTATTAAGTCCTCTAATAATAAAAATAATAATACTAAAATAGCTAAATAACTTAAAAAGGCCTATAAAAATATTATAGATATATAATAAATATTTAATAATAATATAATACTTCTTAATTAACTTTAAGCTAAGGTCTAGTAAACTAATAATCTTAAAGAAAAAGTTTATACTCTCTAAGCTATTATTAACATTATTTTAACCCTAATAAATAAGTAGAAGAAACTTAAGCTTAACTTCCTTACTACTTATAATAAGACCTCTAAAACGCTTAAAGGATTCTTAATATAAGTTAAGACCTACTAAACGTTTTACTCTAATAACTTCTATATAAAAACAAAGAAAATTATTTATATGAATACCTTCTTTAAAAAATAAATCTTTTCTTAATTTAAACTTTACCTAAAAAACTACTTAAATAATAAGACACTAAAGTACTATAACCTAGAGACCTAGTAAATCTTTAAAAGCTTTATAGGATTTAAGTATACCTTAAAATCTTTATTCTAAGACTTAAATAAGAAATAATAAGCTAAATAAGATTTAGTAAATCTTAAATAAACTAAATTAATTATTAACTATACTATAAAGTTCTAAAGAATTTATATATAACTTAATTATACTAATAACATTAAGATCTTTATGTTTTACTAAGGACTTAAAAAAGAAATAAAAAATAAGTTATTTAAGCTTAATTAACTAAATAACTTCTTATAATATATAGAAATTATAATAAGAATTAATACTAAGCTATATAAGTAATAAAAAAAAAAAAGAAACATACTACCTATAACTAAATACTAGTAAGAAATATATACTATAAAAGCCTAAGAACTTATAACTTAACTTATACTAGTAAAATAACTAACAACCTAGTAAGCTAAGTACTTTCTATAAACAACATAATAGACCTATAAACGTTAATACTATAATTAAAAAAACCTATTAAAACCATTAAGACTTAAAGGACTTTAAGTACTATAACTATAAAAAGCCTAAATATATAGCTAAAGACTATAAATAGCTAAAATAACTTTAAAATAGGCCTATACCTAAAAGTACTAAGAAAACTAATATAATAAAAAAAAAGTTCTTTATAAATAAAAAAACTAGATTATTTACTTTAATAATAACTATTTAGTTTATTAAAAACTAAAAAAATAAACTAAATAATACCTATAATAGCTTAAACCTAGAACTATAGTAATCTCTTAATAAACTTAGAAAAGAGGCTACCTAGACTAAACTATAGTTTAATAACTAGAGTAATAAAACTAATAGCTAATTACTAAGCTTATCTAAGCTAAAAAAGCTATATAAAACAAAAGAGATAACTCTTATATACCTAATACTTTAAAAGTTATTAAAAAATAACTTTAATTATATATATAAGCCTAAAAGAACTTCTAGAAATAATAAATACTTAAAAAAGACTTTAAGAATACTCTTAAAAAAAAAAGAAGCATTAAACCTAAAAAGCCTACTAAGATAATAGCTATAGAACAAAAATAACTATAATAACCTAAATTCTCTCCTCTAAGACTTAAGTTTAAAGAACTTATACTTAAAGAGTTAATTAAAGTACTTAGTAAAAAAATAAGCTTTAAAGAAGAATATAAGAAATTACTTAATAAGTTTAAACCTTTAAGTAAGCTTAAAAAAAAGACTACTAAGTAACTTATAGATCTTAGAAGATTAAGCTAAACTTTTATATAATTAATATTTTATTAAAATATTAAAAAAAAACTAAAATAATTATATTTATATTATTTTTAAAAAAAAAAGAATCTTTTAATAAATTAAACCTTAAATAAAAAGCCTTTTATAAAAAAAAAGTATAGCTTTATAAGGCTAACTAAAGCTTAACTTATTATAACTTAAATAAACTAATAGCTATATAAGTAAATATTAACTTTAGTAATAACCTAATAGTTAAAAAGGCTTAGCTTACTAAAAAGGACTACTCTAAGTACTAACTATAGTATAAAAAGAATAAGAATAATTAAGAAGTCTAGTTCTATAAAATAAACACTAAGAATTAAGAAGTAAAATTCTTATAATTCTTATATATAAATCTCTTTATAACTTTATAACTAAAAGTCCTATAAATATATAGTTACTTTTTCTAGATTCTTCTTGAAAAATAACCTATAAAAGTATATATTACTATATATAACTATACTAATATAAACTACTATAAACTAATATAGTTTACTATATATAAACGCATATACTTCTAAGCATTATATATGTTAGCGCTTATACTTATTTATAGGTATATATAGGTATATATATATATATATAAGAAACTATAAGTACCTCTTAGCGCTTAGATATACGCTTAGATATACACTTAGATACTATATATATCTAAAGGACTTTCTATATAACTAAGAGATATCCTTTCTACTTAGACAATTTTATAATAATAACAAGGTAAAACAATACCTTAACGGTTAATATATATATATACCTTTTCTATTTACCTTTATTCTTCTTTACTTTTCCTTATAACTATTTATAAATAACCCCTTATTATTCTTACTAGTTATAAGCCTAGCTTAGTAGAGAAGGTAACCTTTATACCTTTACCTTCCTTTATACCTTTAACTTCCTTTATACTTATACCCTTATTTTATACAACAAAAATTCAACCTTGTTAAGGGATATACTATATTAGCTAAGGGAATTTTAAGGAATACAGCTCTAAGGCAGCTACACCTTACACCTAGCAGTCTATATTTAGCAGAATAGAGGGACTAGCTTACTAGGTAAGTACTACACCTATTGCTATATTTTATGCTACTACAGCTCCAGGCAAATCATAATTCTACTCTACTAGTTAAAGGTTATTTCTAGTCTATATTTAACAAAAACTATATACCTTAAGCTAGAATTGAACCTAAGAGCTCTAATTAAGTTACTAATTTAATTAGTTAATCTAGAGGATAGCTAAACCACTAGACTAACTGCTCTACTATCTAGTGAAAGCTTCTTTAATTAAAGGCCTATATATATCTATAACCCAAGGCAACCACGCAACACCATACTATTAATAACAACCTAACCACTTTTAAGGCCTATTTTTTAAGACGAATTTAATAGTACTATTAGAATACTAATATCTCTCTCTAATTAGCTAAAATCAACTAAAATCCTTATATTCTAATTAAATTTAAACCAAATTAATACTATAGAAAAAATCTATATACTACGCCTTTCTAGTAGCCTTAACTATAATGTTTAAATAACTAGATTTAAGGCTTTACTTATTAGTAAAGATATTAACTTTAGTCTTATAACCCTTTTAACTATACCTTCTTAACAAAAGAGTAATATAAAAGTATTAGCTTTTATAAAGCTATTTTATAAGGATTCCCTTTTAAGGGTTATAAAAGACTTTATAATAGAATATAAAGCCTAAAAGAAACTAAAAGATTTATATAAACCTACTAGTTTTATTAACAAATATCTTACTTATAAAGAGTTCTTTAATACCTTCTTAGAATCCTTTAGATCTATAGAAGAATACCTTAATAAGGTAAAAGAGCTTATAGACAACCTATCTTCTAAA